CCAACTACCGACAGTGTGTGTGCTACTACAGGATTTACAAAGGTGAAGGTTATTTACAGAGTATATATAGTCAGGTGAACTAATCCAAATAGGGTTATACAAAAATCATAGTCACAACAGGCAAAAGGTTAGGCACACTAATAACAGTCAACAGGTCAAAATACAAAGTATACGAACAAGTAACAAGACAGCCGCCTGCTGGCTTGTAGACTTGACACTACTTTAATAGGAAGTTGATTATGGGAATCAGCCAATCAGGAGCAGCAAACAGCATGATGGGCTACACCTTGAACAAACACACAGAAGACATGCACAGCAGATCTGCTAAGTAGTTACACATCTGTGAGTGATGGGGAGATGGGGAATCACCAATGTTTTCTGAACCTTTCTTGTACATCAATTCAAATAAAGCCCTTGATATATCAAAGACCAGTGCGTGAGCCGGTGACTTGAATTGGACATATGCTGCAGAAAGACAAGTGGGTTGTGGTCTGTATAGACCAAGACTGGTTCTTTACTGGACTCTATGTAAACCTCAAAGTGTTGCCGTGCTAACAGGGCAAGAGCTTCCTTTTCTATTCTACTGTAGTTAATGACTTGGGTGAAGTCAGGGGCAGAAAGGATTGGGACACTACATAACAAGCTTTTAACTGCTTCAAAAGCAGTCTGACATTCAGCTGACCACATATAACCGACAGAACTATGAAGGTTTCTAAGGGGCAGGAACGCATCTTAAAGGTTTCTACAGAAACAGCTGTAATAACCTGCCATTCCAAGAAAGCGACAAAGTTCTTTCTTTGTATTAGGGGCATGAAAAGCATTGATTGCTTGAACTTTGCATCCAAATGGATGGACAGGTCCCTGACCAACCTGTTTCCCTAAATAGGTCCCAGTGGCATGATAAAACTCACTTTTAGGTTTAGGGTAAGACAAACATTCTGAAAATGTGAAAACACTGTATCCAGTGTGTGAAGATGGCTTTCCCATGTCTCAGAATAAATTAATGCATTGTCCAGGTATACTTCACAGTTATCCACATTCATGAGCATCTTATTCATTAAACACTGAAATGTTGCGGCTAGGTTTCTCAAACCAAAGGCCATAGCAGAATATTGGAAGAAAGGGTCTGGGTGGCAAAAGCTGAAATTTCAGAAGCACGTTTAGTAGGGGGAATCTGCCAAAAGCCCTTTAGTAAGTCTAATTTTGTAACAGATTTTGCATTTCCTGTCCTGTCCACACAGTCTTCCATTCGAGGAAGGGGAAAGAGGCAGTGAGAGAGTTAACTTTATGGTGATCGGCACAGAAAGAGCTCAGGAACCATTAAACATGGGGAACACCATGGACTAGAGCTAGGGGCAGAGAGACCATTTTCAACAAGGAATTCAGTTTCCCTTTTCATAAATACACATTTGTTAGGATTAACAGGTACAGGAGTAGGCAAAACTGAGGTGGAGGCCTCAGAACTAGAGTGGGGCACATAACTTTGAAGCATGTTCACATGACGAACACGAGACTTCCTCTTTCTACCTTGGGTCTTCACAACATAATCTGTATGAATCAACTTTGCCTTAATTACATATGGGTCTGAAAACTTGGCCTTTAAAGCTGAACGTGGTAAAGGCCACAAAACAAGAATGTCATCTCCAACATAAAATGAATGCTGCACTGACTTCTCACCAAAGTGAGATTTCATACAAGACTGGGAGGGAGCTGGTGAATGTTTAGCAAATTTACAAACTGTATGTAACCGCTCATGAAAGGAACTAACATAGCCCAAAATATTCTTGGAAGGGAATTTAATTAGGGCTTTCACTGTATCAGCATCCTTAAGAGAACAGAGAGGAATGGCTTCAGGGTATGCAGTGGCCTCACACAATAAAGTAAGAAGGTAAGTATAACCAGACTTGGTTCTAAGGAGTGGCGCTGCACAATCATTTAAAATTAGCTCAGAGGGCTCACCCCTCACTAGTTTGGGCTTCAGCGGAGCGGAGGGAGTAACCTGATTGGGCTTCCCAGCAAATTGACAGATATGGCATGAATGGCAGTGGTGGGAAACATCAGCTTTCATGGTGGGCTAAAAGAAAATGATTTAAAAGACGATTGTAGGTTTTCCAAACACCAAGGTGACCAGGATGGTTATGGTCATGGGCTATACTTGGCACCTGCTGTCTATAAGACTTGGGAACAACAACCTGGAAAACTGAATTCCACTCATTCTCAGAGTTTGCAGGAGCCCGCTTGTGCATAAGTGCATCATCCTCCTAGAAGAAGTAAGCAACGGAATGCTGGGACAACTCAGGTATATCTATAATAGCAGGAATACACACAAAGTGGCATCACGTTTTTGGGCAGCAGTGAACTATGCTCGACCAAAAGACACGTTACTGCTGCTGTCTTAATCACCTGAAACTAATATCAAACTTAGCAGAAACATCATCAGCTAAACTCTCTTCACCATTAACAGGAACAGGTTCCAAGACAGGGCTATCAACACACGCAGTCGACTCAAAGAGCAAACAAGTTTTCCATTTTATGAGCCTGAGTCAGTGTCTCAGCACAGGCACTGAACAGAAAGGGAAACTCCTGAGACAATACAGCATTGTCCCCTAACTCAGGCACACTAATAACTTTAGGCAAAGGAAAAAACTCCCCTCCTGCCAAATCTTTTCCAAGAATGAAAGAAATTTCTTTCACTGGCAGTTGGGGGTGAACTGCTGCTTTTACCGCACCAGAAACTAAATCAGATAGAAGTTATACTATATGCAGTGGGACTTTTACTACACCAACTTCTGTGCCTCAAACTAAAACATCAGAACCACACCTGGGCTGGGTGAAAAATGGAAGAACACTCCAAAATAAAGGACAGTGCCATTCCAGTGTCTCTTAAAATATGAACAGGTTTCTGTTCAGAGTCTGTATCTGATAATGAACATCAACAGATGAGAGATAGAGAGAGAGAGAGAGAGTGCGCTCTAATACAGGGCAGCAGTGGGGTATGGACCAGTCCAACAATTGTGGGAGAGGGGTGTGTTTTCTGCTGGTTTTTATGTTTCAAAGCAGGACAAGAAGCTATCAGATGCCCACTTTCATGACAATAAAAACATTCACAAGACTCACTCGACGTGTTGGATGCGTTCACAGGAGCTCTGCAGCTGTATCTACACTCGGGGGGGAACCACACAGAGGAGGAGAGAACGCAATTTTATGCATGAGCAAACACATCAACCAAAACAGCAGCATCAGCAAGTGAGGAGGCTTGGTTTATTCAAATAAACAAGGATCTTCCAATAGGATCGATTCCTTTAACTTTGCGTTTGGAGCACCACTTGTCAAAATGGCAGATTTGTCAGGAGCAATTCAGCAAATGTTTAGCTGATGGTTTTGGCATGTTTATGAAATCTTTTTTGGTAAGCTTCAGGGACAGGTGCTGCAATACAAGTGCCATGGTGCTGAAAGATCAAAAGAAACCTGCTAAAAGCAACAGGTCATCTTTACGACATTGCTCAAACCGCTGTAATGTGGGGTAAGTTGTAAACTTATCCAAATCAAATTTAGAGGCTATGGCAACCAACAAACACACTCCCACTACAAATACAAAACCCCCAGACAAATGAGAAGTGGCAACCGTCCACAGAGGGGGAAAAAAACAAAACCACACCTGGGCTGCTGGTCAGCAAAGCAGGTCTTAGCTGGTCAGCATTGATTTCAGGGGCAAGCTAAGCCAAAACAATAAACAAACCCGCAACTAGCGCGAGAGAGAGAGAGAGAGACTAACTTACCAAAACCAAAGTGAAATAAGACACTCAAACCTTCCCTACCTCCCTAATTAGTGATAACCAGGAGAAAAATTGAATATAAATAAATAAAATGGCCTACTTCCCAGCTACATACAAAGGTGCTGATTATTTACAGAGTATTTACAGTCAGGCGAACAAATGCAAATAGGGTCGTAGGGTTACAGAAATCATAGTCACAACAGGCAAAAGGTTAGGCACACTAAGAACAGTCAACAGGAACAAAATACAAAGTATACAAAAGTTATGAGAAAGCAGTCTGCCCGGTAGTTTAATAGGAAGTGGATTATGGGAAGCAGCCAGTCATGAGTTGAGGGGTGGGTCCAACCAATCAGGAACAGCAAACAGGATGATGGGCAACACCTGGAACAGACAAACACGCAGAAGACATACACAGCAGATCTGCTAAGTAGTTGCGACCAGGGTCGCAACACTGTGTCCATGTCCTTGATAACTAATTATCAGTATTGGCCCAACCTTTCGCTCGACCCCTAACTTTAACTCTTCCCTGATGTATTCAGTGGTGCTCCATTACCTCAGAAAATGCAATTCCACTGCTCTACAACCCAATGCTGGTGAGCTTTGTACCCCTCTAGTCAACCCTTGGCATTGGGTGAACTTGGGCTAATGTGTGGCTGTTCCAGAGCCTTCTCTTTCCCATTCTGTTGGCAGTGCTTTTCTGTGGAGATTATACAAGCTCTTTGCACACAGTTTACCTGTGTCAGTAATGGGTGCACCATACAGGGACACTCCAGACAGAAGAGTAAAACCCGTTTCTGACTAGTTAATTTTTTGGGAATGTACGTAAAGTGCTGGAGGGCTGCTTGTACCGACCCTTTGGAGTCTACTCTAAAGCACTTGTAGTTTTTTTTCAAACCACCAACAGCTTTAGAAAGAGGGTTAATGTAGTCTGGCAGGAGTGTCCCTTTTAAAATAGCTGAATGTACTAAGGAGTAAATGCTTTTGGACATAATGTGTCAGACCCACCCACAAAAATCACTGTGTGCAGACACATTTTTATTTTTTTGAGAAACCTTTCCCTTCCTTGGTACTCCCATTCATTAAATATACACTTACACGTTCTGGTTTACAGTTTGTCCCTAAAGATGGTGAAAAAATAGGTACAAACAAGATGTTGCTGGTTTGCTGTTTTCCTTGTGATGCCTTGTCAGTTTTATAAAGATCTCCATCCTCCTTCTCTTTCAGATCTGCCCAATATGTGCAGCTTTGCCTGGAGGTGACCCCAATCATGTGACGGACGACTTTGCTGCTCATCTCACACTTGAACACAGAGCACCTAGAGATTTAATATCCTTTATGTTGTAGTGTGCATTCAATCTTTGTGTGAAGTTGCTTTCTCATGATTTGTGTATGGTTCATGTCAATGCAGTTTGAGTTTTTGCGCTAAGCACATACCATAGCACTGTGATAATAGTACAGATTAAGTTAAATTACCTGCACACAGTACCAGAGTGACGTCATCTGTGAGAGTGTGCGAGGTGGTGGTGTTCTCAACCTGGCCGTAGTTCTGGAATTGTAGTCCTGAAGGGCATGTGTGTAGCACAGTTTGTTGAATTTCAAGTTCAGACACATCCACTTAACCTGGCAATTAACAGTTGAGTTGAATCAGGGAAATCACCAAACTCTGCTGGACTTTGGTCCTCCAGAATGACAGTTGAAGAGTCCTACTACAAAGCACATGCTGGAATAGCTGAACAACATATCTGCTATCATTACATTTACTTTAACTGGGATATCTATGCTTGTTTCAAGCACTTGTTACTGTCACTTGCAATAAAATGTTGAATAAAATGTTGAATGTTAAATAAAATGAAAAAGCTATTCAGGGAATACTGACTTTAAAAGAATTTTCAATTCAATAAATATGCTTGCAGTTTTGCCATAAGCATTTTACTGAATAGTAATTTTGCAGTTTTTGTTTATGTTCTTTTATTTTATTCTAGTTGTTACAATGTCTTTTATATATACGCAGCAAATATATTTTTATTACAATATCTGTTTATGTACACAGCAAAAACTCCTAAGATTTAGGGTTCGTACTTGCTGCTCATCCAAACAAAGATACAGTGAAACGGAAGCGTTTATGCCAAAATGCTGTTTCATGCCAAATGTGTATCCATTTATAACAATTTTGGATATAAAGAGATTTGGAAAGAATAACAGCTGACATACAATGCAAAACGCATCCTTATTTCTCTAATAAAGGTGGTATAAATTTTAACATACACAGGTGCTTCTTGTATGCCCCTTCCAACAACGTATATCATAAAAAAAAAAAAAAAATCTGTATTGCAATTATGGGTATGTGATTATCAGAATCAAATCAATATCGGCAAGAGATTCGGACTTGTACATTTGGCCAATATTTCAAACTGATATTGGACATGCGTACTCTACTTTGAAAAAGCCGAACATTTGGGAAGTGCTGGGCTACTGTGTTAAAACATTTGCACATCTTCATGCATTTTACTGTAATTATAACCATAAAGTTTTATATTTTTCTGTAATGTTCTATTTTACATAAGTATTTATATATTCACATATGCAGATATGTATGTAAAAAGGACATTGGCATTGGTCCACAATTCCCATGTCAGTATTTCTCTAAATGGGATTGAAATGTAATTTTTGTATCTCACATCACAGTGTCCAGGCATTTTTTTTATATCCATATTTTGAATGCCTAATGTGTGGATGTATATTGGTGAAGAATAGTTTAGCCATAGCTCATCCCTGTAATCATATTCTTCTGTAATAAGGTAGCATAGTGTGACCTCTGCACTGGGTGTGTGTCCAGGGGTGTGTGTGCGCACTTGCTATATGTGTCTGTCTGTTGGTCCTTAACCGTCCTGCGTCCACGATGAGACAAGTGGCGTGCGGCATGTGCGCCGGATGTTCCACCCTGGGCGTGGGCTGGGCGGTCCGCGAGCACGCAGGACTAACATGCACTTTACCAGCAGCTCCACTGGGGGGCTCTCCTCTTCACAAAGCTCGTCCTACTCTCCAAGCAATAGGGAAGCCATGGACCCCATAGCAGGTGTGTTTATACCAGCTTGACATGATGGTCTTTTTAGTTTTATATTGCTTGATTATTTTATAGTCTATCTTATTTTTTTGAATGAACTATACGGTTTTCAGCTGGTGAGCTTTCAGTTCTGAAGGTTAACAAACTGTAGCTTGTCACCTTGTGTTGTCAGCTGCAACATCAGATAGTTTTGAATATTGTGTCGAGTGTGATTCTGATCGTTTAAATATTCTGTGAGGATAAGGAAAGTTCAGAACATTTGCATTTTAATAATTGAAAGAATAAACTGAAACCTTTTTTTTTGTACCATTTCTAATAATTAATGTAATTGAAAGATTACAAGGTAGTGTCAAACATCACTGAATCAACTAGAGGTGGGCAATATGAAGATTTTAACATTATCGTAAAAAGTTTTATTACTGGATGTGCAATATGCTTTTCTGAGCATTTTATGGATATCAGTACTTTAGAACCACTGACCAACTGCATATTTCATTAAAAAGAACATGAGTCCTGTTTAATTGGTTTTAGACAGTACAGAATGTAAGATGTTGAATAAAAATCATGTGTTGTACAGTTTGTATTGCTCTACAACTGCCCTCTTCCAGAACACGTGCTGCCCTGTCAGTTTTAATTCCACACGCAGTCCAATTTTTTTTAATACTCCTACCAGATTGAACAGTAAATGCAACTTAGATCCTACTAGCAAGCAGTCAGGAGTAGTAGTAAACTTGTTTGGTTTGTAGCTGGCAGAAGAACGAAGATTTGCCTCAAATTAAATTTCTAAAACAAATTTAAATTGTCTCGCATGCCCTGCTTCAGATTGTCATCAGAGAGCATGTTGGCTTTCTGACATGATTTAGTATGTATGGGCTGACAGTTGTCAAAACAAAAAAGAACAACATCTTGAAAGAAATTGGTTTAGAATGGCTAAACAACCACCAGCAAATGCCATGTTGGTAAAGAAACGTACAATATGAACTAGAGATGAAACGGTTACCGGTTTCACGGTAAACCGCGGTAAAATTAGTGACGGTTAGTAGTACCGTTTGAACTGAGTATTGTTAAAACCGCGGTCGATTACCGCGGTGTGAAAAACTCGCTGCACAGAATCAAACAAAGGCAGAATCATCTCTCAGACGCAGCTCTGTGTGTATGTAGAGGGGAAAGGGGAGGGGGAGGGGTAGAGAAGGGAGAATATGGGGGAATGTAGTGACAGAGATTCGGAGATATTTCAGCCTTCTAAGAAGACCAGGTCTGACGTTTGGTCATGTTTTGGGTTTTATAAGGATGCAGAAGGAAAGTTAATTGAAGATGACGACCCTGTCTGCAGAACAGGCCGAAAGAAAATAGCGGCGAAAGGGGGCAACACATCCAACCTTACGAGTCATCTTCGCGACCACCACCCGCTACTTTTTAGAGAACGCAAGGTTAACTTTAACGGAGAAGTCTGTGGGGACTTCGAAATAGAAGAAATGTCATGGTCTGTGTGGTTTAACTTGTGCTTATGGTTCGTTAATAATATAAAATGAAGCTTTAAGCGTCAAAAAAAAAAAAAGAAAAACAATCGGTGAATCAACTGTGAATCGAAACTAAAGCCTTTAACACATATTTCTGTGGAGCAGAGTCTCCAAAATGAGCTCTAAGTTAACAGTCACACAAGCTCTGGAACGAGACGCTGCAGAGGTTCAATCTGCACAGCTCCCCTTTCTCGCTTGCAGTGTTTACTGTCTGAGAAGAGAATTACACCGTCTCAAATCACTGTGTCCCTAGTGCGCTACTGTTCAAAAAACACGATCATCATTAACAAGCAATTGAGTTTTAAATAGGGAATTTGTAACCTATTGTTAATATATTGTTACTGTGAACGTTTCACGCACTCTTTGGGTGAAGGATTTGCTATTTCATGATCCACGAAGTGCACTACATAGGGAAGATAGTGTGCTTTGAGACGGGACCTTGCGCGAGTAAACGCTGTGTGCTGCTTTTAGGAAAAGCAGAGTTTCAGAGATTAAACTTTAGGAGTGTTTCTGCCGCAGCTCAGATGCGCGTTAATTTTAAGTTATGTTTTAGTTTTAAAATGCTTTTAGAGAAGCAGCTCCACAGGTGAAGACACACTGTGAGTTCTACGCTGTCTGCACGGTCACGCAGTTCCTCTGTGATTTTGGCTGTTTTTCCTGGTGCACTGTGTTGATTAGGGGAACAGCGCCACAACAGCACAATAATGCTGCAGTTGCAGTTAGGACAGAAAATCCCCCGAGTGCAACACTTCTTAGAAGTAGTAATTTTCCATTAAGACCCACCTCAGAGTTGGTCCAGATTTAATTCTCTATGCAGGGAAATCCCTAATTATTGTAATAAATAATAATAATAATTACAACGGTAATAATAATAATTATTATTATTTACAACAGTAATAATAATGATAGTAATAACAGTAATAATAATACATTTGCTATTCTTTTGTTTACAGAGTATTGTAAGTAATACAAAAGTAATACTACAAATGTATTGACTACATTTTTTTATTTTTTAAAGTGCATATTGCTGCCAATTCTATCTGTGTTAATAAAAAAGTTGGTGAAATGAGTTTGTTTGTGTATCAGTATTTATTTATTTATTTATTTTACTTTTCAACACTTTTGAACAATATTGCGATAATATCGATAATTGTGATAATTTTGGTCATGATAATCGTGATATGAAATTTTAATATCGTTTCATCTCTAATATGAACTATGTTGCTCCAGAAGGCTCACTTTTATGTTGTGCAGAAAAGGAAACTGCTTGATTATTTTTTTCAGACTTCATTAGAGGTATTAGAGGATAGAGCCCTTATTGTATTTTGACCATTTTTTGACCATCTCTCTCTCTACTGTTTTAGAGCTGCTGTCACAGCTGTCAGGTGTGCGGCGCTCAGCAGGCGGCCAGCTTAACTCCTCGGGTCCATCAGCATCGCAGCTGCAGCAGTTGCAGATGCAGCTGCAGCTTGAGCGGCAGCAGGCACAGGCGGCACGCCAGCAGCTGGAAACAGCACGCAATGCCACACGCCAGCGCAGCAACCCCAGCAACATCAACGCCAGCATCCCACCGCCCAGCACCGCCACAAACACAGCCATGACTGAGAGCAACCCACTGGCCTCACACAGCTCCCAGTTCCTCCTCACACGGTACAGCAACTGACTCCTGGGATGAGTTGTATCAACAGGGCTTATGCCTAGTTGTAAACTAAGTTGATCTTAACTATCTGTGTGAAACTTTCACCAACTTTAAGCTGAATTTTCCCTAAGACCTAGCTGGGCTATTTCTAGGATATGGTAACCTATTTAAACAAAGAAGTCTGTAACTAGTGTGATTTGCAGCAGAACTTAGGCAAGCAGCAAATTCTATTAAACAACATTATATGATTACATAAAATGTGCAAAAGTATTTTTTTTTTCTCTTTTGTTTTTTGAAAAGACTAAGGTAAGGCCGTCTGATGTCTGCAGGTGTTTCAGCATATTTAAACCTTTAATTTTAGTGAAAAGTGAATAGTTGTTTCTTGTATTTCTGGCTAGAAATGCAGTCTTCTTTCTTTTGTTTGATATTTTGTGTGATGATTCAAAGCCCTTTACTGGGACATACTGCAAGAAGCAGCAGAGCTAGCAATGTAGCAAATATCAACAACAGATTGCAAAGCTACTCTTCAGCGCTAAAGTCTACATCCCCTACTCGGAGAAATGTAATGCTAAGGTGTCTTTCAGGAGTGAGCTGAAAGAGAGGGGGTCAGAAACTACATTTTTGGGTTGGTTGTGGCTCAAGAAACACTGCTGAGAATCACTGTTCTGCTGTGTGCTGCTTTCTTCTGAATCCTCTGAATCCTACCATGTTTTTTGTGTGGTGTGTTTTCTTTTTTTTCTTCCTTTGCATAATTTCTCCCTTTTTTATACAGCTTTTTGTCTTGACCATCCAGTGCTTAAGCAGCAGGTGTCAGTAGCCTACTTTTAGTAAAATTTAGCCTTTCACTAGAGCGCAAACATGGACTTTACTAAATGCACATATGTCTGTAACGATTCCATTTAGGTTTTTAGCAAGCGCTTTTATCCATAGAAATTTAAAACTGTAGGAGAGAGTAACGTAAAGAGAGTAACTTGACTTTTATTGCTTTAACAGTAATGTTGGTGTTCTAGTCCGATAGTGTGAGATGTGTCCATTACGTGGTACACTCGCAGAAATAAAGGTAGTAAATGGTCACTGGGGCAGTACCCCGCTTGTCACTGGGGTGGTACCGTCAAGGGTACATCTCAGCACCTTTAGTCAGAGAACATAACTGTACCATAATCCATTGAAATTATATTATAAGTTGTATTGACTCCACACAACCCATCTCCTCTCCAGGCTTTTTAATTTATTGTTCTGTTTTAAAACATTAGGTTCTGAAAAGGTACAAATACAGAATCTATGTATGAATCAAAACATTTTACATGTTTTGTTTTTCGAACAAATCACTGTTTTTTTTTGTCTTTTAATTATCCACCCTTGCTCTCCAACTGAGACACAGCAGAAGGCAGTCATTGCAAGGGAAATGCCATGTGACTGAAACGGCATGTTAGCTAAATTAGCTGAAGTTCTCATGAATTTAGAATTGAATTTTTGTAAGTTACACATTACGTAGTGTGTATCTAACACCTACTAGACGCTTCCCTGTAACAGTTGTTTACTGATGTAATTTACTGATTTGAATTCGGACAGATTTTCATCATGAAATTTAGTCAGAGAGATTTCTTTTAATCAAAATATTTCAGTTTTTGATTTACAACATTTTGATGTAGTTGTTATAACTGAAGTTTAGGGGGAGGAGCATGGCTGAAACCCCTCCTTCTTCCAAACTAATGCCCTGTAAATTCACATCTTACCTTCCGTTCCCATTTCGAAGTGTTGGCAATCAGTTGTGTGGCGCTAGTGCAGGTACGAGCCACTCTGGTACAGACCTCTATTCTCTCTCCTCAATTCCCTTTGGACGTCTGCCTGTTCCTTATGCAGATACAGTGCAGTCCACATCCCAATGAAATCCATTGTCATCGTACCTGCTGCTCTGGCTAGTGAACCTTCGATCTAGGATCTCGATTTCCCTGCGCAGTCTCGCTGCCCAGTTTCTGCGCTTCCAACACGGCTGCAGTGCTTAAAGCCTCAACAACTCGCGTTCCTCTGCAAGCTTTATCCGAACTGCACCCTTTCTCTGGACCACAACTATGCACCAGTGCGCCCTGATAGACGAATCGCATCTTCCATGCTGATGTATTCCACTCTGTCTCGGCTCCGGGCGGAGGTAAACAACCCTGCTCTTTGTCGGCATTGTTTGACCCTCAGCTCGTGTGGCTGCGCAGACCACGTGACAAGCCACACTCGCCCTATGCAATGTTGTCGCAATGTCGATGCATATTCTACATGATGTCTTCACCCCTTCATGCCATTCCAATCTTATCCACAAGCCACCATTTCTCCTCTCTCTTGCCATTGTCTCTCTCCACCTCTCTTGTATTCCCCTCTTTTCTCCCTAGCATGGGGCCAAACTTCCTGTCCCTTACAGTGCCCTGCATCTACTCAGCTGGATGCAATGCTTTATTTTGTAATGCTGTATTCTGCTGTTCATATGTCAGTTTTCCTGCTTCCTACCTACTTTGCTAGTTTTATTCTGCTCTCTCTCACCCTTTTCATCCTGCATTCTCTCCCACCCCTTTCACCCCTCTACCTCAAGCCTCCATTCAATCTCAGCTCCATCTCAACCCAGCTCCATCTCAGCCCACTCCATCTCAGATCAGCTCCTGCAACCCAGCTCTGCAACTCCCTTCTGAGTCTACATGGCTCCATCTCAGCCCACGCCATCTTTGATCGGCTCCTGCAACTCCTTTCTGACTCTTCGTGGCTCTGCCTTATCCCGGCTTCATCTCAAGTTCACCTCTGAAGTGTCATAGCTCTGCCACTCCTCACTCCACTTGGCTCCATCTCGGATCAGCTCCAGTGCAATCAGCACTGCAACTCATTTCTGACTCAACTTTGCTCCATCTTGGATCAGCTCCAGTATAATCAGCTTTGCAACTCATTTCGGTTTCCACTTGGCTCCGTCTCAGATCTGGTCCAATGCAGCTCAGTCCTGCTTCTCATTTCTGGCTTTACTTAACTCCACCTCAGATTGGCTCCATCTCAGATCAGCTCATACGTTCTTTAGTTCGGCAACTCATTTCTGACTCATGTTTGCTCCATCTTGGATCAGCTCCAGTACAAACAGCTCTGCAACTCTTTTCTGGCTCCACTCGGCTTTATCTCTGATCAGCTCCTATGCACCTCAGCTCTGCAACTTACTTCTGATTCAGTTTGGCTCCTTGTCAGATCAGTCCCATCTTGGATCTGCTCCATCTAGGTTCGGATCCAACAGTCAATTCCGCAGCTCATCGCCGTCTTACCTTGGCTTCACCTCAGACCAGCTTCACCTTGGATGAGCTTTATCTTGAGTTCCATTTTTTTCATTTTTCCCTCTGACTGGACTACTATTGGTTTGTTTGTGAAAATGCTGCCTGTAACCTGCTGCTCTCCTAGTCACTTTGGCCGTTCTTCGGCCACCGCTTATTTGACTCCCCTCGTGCTGTTTAATTTATCGGTTGTCATATTGGGCCACACATTCCATTACACTAGCTAGCATACTTGCTGTGTTGTTCCTCTTTTCTTTAAACACAACATTTACTCCATGTAACACTTCTGTTCTGTACTTCAGATTGAAGTTTTTTCTGTAATGAGACTCATTATTTGAAGCTGTGTTAAACATGACAGCTTTTAGTAGAGATTTACATTTATACAATGCAGTGCCTGCAGCTAATAACGAGACTAAACAAAATTCTCTACTAAAGACTTGATACTCGACTCAGACTCCCACACTAGAGACTCAGGGCTTGATTCAGACCACCATCTATGAAGCTACCTGTGCATGTCTCTGTGCTATGTAATTTAGTATGGTAATCATTTTACAGCCTACAGTAGTTTTACTTCAGCAGTGCTTTACTGACTGTATGATTAATGATTAATTTGGCAGCTGGTGGTGTGGTCAAATATTACTGTCAGTTCTCAGTTGTCAGAGCTTGTAGTTTGTTAGGTCAGGTCCTAGTTTGCTTTCTTTGATGCTTGAGTGAGGAACACATATCAGACACACATCATTTCTTTTTTTTGGGCCATCAAAAAATATTCATAATAAAAGACTATAGTTTGGTTTCTTAAATTCTTTATGGAGGTTTATGTAATTGCCAAATTAAAAATGGCTGACCATCTAAATGACTGAGTTTCAGTCCTTCTCATCCACGCTCCTCCTCTTCCTTCTTTCCTCATGGCAGGCTGAATGAGCCGAAGATGTCGGAGGTGGAGCGTCAGGCTTTAGAGAGCGAGCGCGCTGACCGCAGCCTCTTCGTCCAGGAGTTGCTGTTGTCCACGCTGATGCGCGAGGAAAGCTCATCCTCAGACGAGGATGAGCGGCGAGACTTCGCCGACTTTGGAGCCATGGGCTGCGTGGACATCATGCCTTTGGACGTGGCGCTGGAGAGCCTGAACCTGAAGGAGAGCTCTGCTGGCAAAGAGCCTCCACCTCCTCCTCTTTGATGATATCCCACCACGACGCAGACAATGTCCTCTGTGCTGTAACTGCCAATGACGGTGGGCAAACACACAGCTCTCTTTTTTTTTTTTTTTGTTTTGTTTTTTGTTTTGTTTTTATTTTTTTGTTATTTGTTTGGGTTTTTGTTTGTTTGTTTTTTGTTTTGTTTTTTGTTTTTTTTTTCTTGGTGATTGTAATTTTAGGTCTGTCACCTTTTGTTACATTGTAAAAAACCATAAAAAGGAGAGCAGAAGTGAGAGGAAAATGTGTGAGAGAATGAGTGAAAGAGAGTCAGTACAAGTGAGAGAAAAATAAAAATATATATATAAAAAATTATATATATATATATATATATATATATATATATATATATATATATATATATATATATATATAAATAAATCAATTCCATATAACAAATTTTTTTTCTTTAGCGGGTGAGCGTAGGTAGCTGTGGCAGACCTCTGCTTCCTGTGTTTAACAAAGACTCTCCTTATAAATACTCCACATTCAGAAACTGAAGAGGAAACAGAGTCCTTCTCTAATGAAGCTGCTGTGTGTATTTATGAATATTAATGAATAAAAAGTGCTTGGATGGTTACCATAACTACTGCATGAGGTTATTTGCAGCGTGCATGATTTTTAATGACATTGTCATTAAAATGGCAAAAAAATCCCAAAGCTTCTTTAATTTTTTAAAGGGTTACTTGAACTAAAGTGTTTTGAATGAAATATCACAGAATAAATCATTTGAAGAACATTTTTTTTTAAAGAGTTTTTATAAAACAAAACAAAAAGCAAAATTGGAATCTGCAGTAACTTTATAAAAAAAATGCAATGCAGTTTTAATTTGCCCAATGCCCCTGTGTTTTTTTTTTTTGTTGTTGTTTTTTTGTTTGTTTTTGCCCCCCCTCCTTCCTTTTCTGTAGCTGGCAAGCAACCAGTCCCGAAGTCGGTGTCACCAGTTGCAAAAAATAATAGAAACTCAAAAAAATTGATCACCCTGGTATGATAGAGACTGTCTTCTTTTTTGGCTATAAAATAAAAAATAGAATGCCAGGCGTAAGGACAACTTGCCTAAAGTCCCCAAGGCGTTGATGTTTTAGTGACAACTGTGTAATCACCAGATATACTTTATAACTTTTGCACCTGTACAGAACAGTTAGCCTCTCCATGTTCATTGCGCTCTGCTTCTCACCTTTGCTTCCAATAGGCAATACATTTTTAAGTGAGAGTGCTGATCTAGGATCAGTTTTTGTGATTAGTCACAAAAAAATAGGGGAGGAATCTGCTCCGAAGGTCTTTTGAATCTCCCCTTTTCTTTCTTTCTTTCTTTCTAACCTCTTTCTTCAGGTGAGGAAGGAGTGTTTGAGACTTGCCATGTTTCTGGCATTGTTTTTGTTCAACGTTTTAAAACAAATGACGTTCTAATTTTTGCTCTGCTAAAAAAGCACCTTCTATTTATTCAGGTTTGTTAGTTTCTCTTTTGATTATTTTTAAGCCTTGTGATTGACTCATGCCACCTCCATGCCTATACTCTTATCCTCAATGTAAAATACAATGAGATGTATATTGAATTTGTGCGTTAACTTTCATAATGGTTCTAGGACATGGGCAGACTTTCTTTTTTTTTAATGTAAATTTAGAATACTACAATAAAAGCGGCGCACAGCTTTTGATGAAAACGAATTCACCATTCTCTCGCTCTTTGTGGCTGTTCTACGTGCGTAGTCATGTAAAAACACTTCTACTGGTAACACAACCAATATTTTGCAAAATTATTAATTACAGCATTATTCCGATCATTGGAAGTACAAATTCTAGTTTAAGGTGTTCCGTGTTCAAGTGTCTGCCGTAAGTTTACAGTTAAACTTTAATTCATCTGCACATTATCAAACAGTATTCTAACTAACAGGGTTCAACATTAACCCATAGCAAGAAAAACGGCAGGTTGGGACAGCAGCATTGAAAATCACTTGCACAGTCGGTAATATTGTGACATTCAATCCAGTGAACAACACACTTGATGTTGCCTTCATTCTCCTTGTGTGTCACCCCATACAAATCCAATCATATTGTTTGTAATCATCTCTAGTGTGAGGCATGATTTAATGGTGGCAGTGCTTTAGTATGCTGTGAAGCAAGTAAGATACTTTATTCCTGGGAAAATTCTCTTTCCTTAAGTTGATTCCTACACAATTTTACACAGTTTGTAGGTCTGCCTAACAGGGCTAACAAAACCAGAGTACAACAGTTTATAGAAAAGTCACTATATTCTAGGGCTGAGCAATTTGTATCAAAATCACAGTTTGAAAGAGTGCAATTTTTCTAATCACAAGAGTATAAATGCTTTGAGTGTGTGTGTGTGTGAGTGAGAGAGAGAAGTAATATATTTTATTTAAGGACAAAAATATGTGCTTACATTTTGAAAAATCTTTTAAACCAAACATTTGTTTGGAATGGTACAAATGGCCAATCAGGCAAGATGGGAGGGGGGAGTTAATGTGATTGTGATTTTAGCTACATGTAATTACTGTTTCACCTCTAGTCTCCAGAAGCCAGATCTGCTGGTTCGATTGATTTCTCATATTGCCATGGTTAGGTGCAGCTGCCCTCATCACTAGACCATGGTTAATGTTAAACTTATATTACTTATATTACTTTTGGGATGCCTTTCATGCCTACAAGTGGCCTCCACACCAAAACAGCATTTAATAAGCAGCAGTACACAAGTGTCAATCAATTTTGTTTTTGCCAAACAGAGGTAGAGTAGAAGGAAAGAAATTATGGGAAAAAGTAAAATTATGATTGACGTGGTGAGATCAAATGACAAACTGTGACTCAGCTTATTACTGCAAGTTGAATCATTCATATCAGTATGATCTAATTCAGTAGCATATACAGTGAGGGGAAAGAAGTATTCAAACCCTTGTTTTTGTTATTTAATGTACTTCCAGTGCATATATCTATGTCACACTCACACCTACAATGTCGTTTATAATGTTTTTTATATATTTATAAATGTGAAAAATTATGTATCCATTAGCATAAACAACAAAAAAATGGGGGGATTATTCAGTACTCACACACCACAAAAAGTTATGTTAATACTTCATCGCCAAACATTTGCTGGCAATAGCAGCTTCAAGCCATCGACAGTAAGAAGTAATTAGCTTTTTTGCAGCACTGTGGTTCAGTTTGGGCCCATTCCTTTTGGCAAACCATCTTCAAAACACCAAGCAGAACCAGACAAAAAAAAAACAAGACAAACCCAGACAAAAAAATTGCTTGAGGAGCCACTGGCTCCTAAAAGAAAAAAAAAATCAGGTGCCAATAACTTTTTTTAAGTGCCAAATAATAATATGCAGGAAAATAAAGCTTTTCAACACACCTCAGGTCAGGTCTATGATTTAAAGGGGAACTCCGCCAATTTTCCAAGTTTTCTGCATAATTAAATGGTTAACAAGTCAACAAATTCATGCAGAGTGGTTTGGTATAAAACGCTTTGTTCTAGAGAGACTTAAAGTCGGAATTGTTCGCAATGATGATGGTAGGAATCAGACATCTGAGGAGCTAAATATCTCTAAATTCTTCCTCCCAGAAAGGTATTATGTGCAATGGTTATGAATGCACTGCCTCATGTCCGAGACATTGTTTTACAGTAACATTGTGATAAAGTTTCGGTTTACATGTATTTTTATCAATTAATTAATTTTATGAATTTAATTAATCAATTTACATTGTAGACATTAGGAGTCCTTCTATCACCATCACTAGAAAAACATGAATGAAAATGAACCATTTCACATTAAAACAATTTAAAGGTCTGTTTGTATCTCAACCACTGAACTGTACAGACATTTTAAAAAATTGGTGGAATTCCTCTTTAAGTATCTCTGCCTTCCACCGTGCCTGATTCTCGACGCATCCAGTCTGCTATTTTTCATTAACAAGATTTGGAAGATGAATTTGGTGAAGGGTAGTTCTTTACGTGCTATCATGGAGGCTATGTTAAAAACTCCAGCAGCACTGGAGTCTGATCCACTCAGACCAGCGCAACACACACTAACACACCACCACGTCAGTGTTACTGCAGTGCTGAGAATAATCCACCACCCTGCTCTGTGAGGGTCCATGGGGGTCCTGACCACTGAAGAACAGGGTAAAAGGGGGCTAACAAAGTATGCTGAGAAATAGATGGACTACAGTCTGTAATTGTAGAACTACAAAGTGCACCTATATAGTAAGTGGAGCTGATAAAATGGACAATGTATATATATGTGTCGGAAATGTATTAAATAACAAAAACAAAAGTATCTGAATATTTGTTTCCTCTCACTGAATATAGCCACAGTACAGATTTTACTAGGTCAGTCATACAAAGTAATGCATGTGTAGTCACTGCATGCAGTGAGTGAAATAAATCATATTTGCTCTGCATATTACATGTAAGGTTGGACGATTTTGACTGGCACTGTAAACGCTACTCCGTTTAATGCAAGTGAAAGACCTTCTGCTTGTTTGATGTGCTACCGTGATTGATAGTAGTTCATAGTTATATTACTTTTTTTGCAAATGGCAACTGTGTATTGCATCGTGCATAGAAACATAGACTTGTAAGACATACCACCTTTATTAAATGCACAGTATTACAAGGAACATTTCCACTGACTGCAGAGAAGCTGCTCACAGGATGCACAAAGCATAGAATACTGATATCTAAGCAGTGAGAGATTGAGTCTGCCAGGAGAAAAGGAAATAAAGGCAACTAACACTCTCGCACAGACACTACGCTCAGGTATGCCCTGGACACACACACACACACACACACAGCCATTCTAAACCAAAATTGGGCTAAAACAGAGTACCTCGAAAAAAAAGAGAAACAAATGATTTTTTTTTTAAAATAGGAACAAGGATAAAGTAATACATTGTTCCAGCGCCCAGTCACAGTTCTTCAGTGAATAAACACATTGGATAGAAATGAAACTTTTAAGGACAATGGGGTGGACAGGTGGGAACTCAGGTCCTGACCCAGATGGAACTGTGTTCATGGCAACCTGCCCTTACAAAATTGTAACAAGGAGGGCAACGTAATGCTTATTTTAAGGTTCAATTTGTTTGTAAATGAGAAAAATTCAGTTAAATTTGTAAAGAAACAAAAAAATCTCACTATATTGTGAAAAAGCACAGAAATAAATTATACAGTACATTGTAACACAAAATAAACTGTATTTACACACATGTTGCTTGTGGCCCAGGAGAAATGTTTCTTTCCTTCCCCTTAATAATTAGTAACATGTCTTGACATGATAGCTATTTTTAAAGAACATTATAGTATGTTTGTGTATATATATATATATATATATATATATATATATATATATATATATATATATATATATATATATATGTATGTATATATATATATATATATATATATATATATATATATGTATGTATGTATATATATATATATGTATGTATATAAATATCGCTGTTGTCGGAACAAACCCTCATATGTCCAATTTGTCCCATATGTTCCTTTTAATGTAAGTCATTGGAACCAGACTTTTTTCCAAGTGTTTTTGGGCTGTTTTTTTTAGTCCAATCATAATGAACTTTAGACACAATGTAAAGGGTAACAGGTATTTTCAAATTAAAAATGGAGATACAAGGTTTTCTTCCAACAGCAGCGATATATATATATATATATATATATATATATATATATATATATATATATATATATACACACACACATACAAACATGCTATTTGTATACACATTTTTTTTTTACTGTACAGCATAGGGTATGAAGTATATGAAGTACAGGCTGGCTATTTAGAGCTGACACATATCTCTATAGTAAAAAGTTAGAAAATCCATTTTTGTTCAATTAAGCTTACTTTTAAGTCAGTCTGTCAACGCACAAAAACAACAAAAAAAAATCTGGGTTTAGACAGAGTCTTAGGTCTTAGCATAATGGTTTAGACCAAATATTTCTTGTGTGCAAATTTTCGACATTATTTTTTTGCTTATTTTTTCTCTCAGAACCAAGTTTGGGCTAATTTAGTAAAAGTTGGCTAAATTATTGATACATTTCTAGCAATGAAATCGGGATATCAGTTCTTTACAGCAAATAAAGCACTCTTCATAACATCCTACTTCTAAAAAAAAGGATCTGCCTGATAAACAAATACCATATTTTCAAAGACACATATCTCTGTCTGTGCATTTTTGCAGTGCTTACAATTATTTGAATTTTACAAAAATATGAGCAGTCAACAGAAAGGAAGGTTACAGCTCAGACATTTTATAATGCTTCATAATCACCGGTTCACAGATGACCAGTGCTTGAAATGTTTAGAAACACTGTTCCGCCACTTGTGAAGGGATGCATGAAAAATACATGTCGCTGATACAGAGACAGCTTAGAAAGAGTCCGACATCAGGGTACAAAGGACAACAAATGTAGCTAATGGGTTATATACATTCTGATTGCGCACTCATTCGGTGCAACACTTTTTCAGAGCTTTGTCATTTTGCACTCACTCGCAACATGTCATTAGCAGAAAGGATACCATGAAGACACCCACCGAATAAATAAGGAGGTAACCATATACAGGAGAACTTGCCATACTGTAATGTTAGAATGGTAAATCTAGCTGTGAGTGTGTAGTTTGGTGTAGTAATGAACAAGTGACAAGTTGGTCAGTCAAAGTCAGTTACGTATTATGGAAAGTTAGTGCTTCATTTACTTAAGTGTAGTTAATAATCAGATGTAGAGTTGGTATGGAGACTTGCAGTAAGTTAGTAAGTCTTCCTGTTATTATCCTCCTCTTTTCACATATTTGGTGGGGTTGAAGCACACAGACATGGAACCCTGGCTGTCCCTTCATAGGGTCTGTGTTGTCTGGTGGTGACCTCAGGGATGGCCAAGTTCGCATCATACCACTCTCACATCAATGCTTACGTCACAGTGCCCACCAAATCCATCGCTTTGAAACTGCCCACGAGACATTGAAAAAGAAACATCAGAGAAGGTTACTGACGCACTATTAAAAGGTTATTTCATAGTAGATAATCGATCACATAAAACTGATAAATATGGATAATCATAAGTGCAAATGAAATCCATCTTTTCAACGAGGGTTGTCGTGCCATAGTCAATGCCTGTGATTTATAACCCCTAAACAAAAAGAAGAAAACAAATCTTCCAAAAGGCAATATCCATTCAATTGGTAACACATGATACGACAAATAACATGGAGACAATGCTGAAACAACACGAATCTGGTCAACTTTTTGCCACTGAATAAGTACCCTATGATGCAGTCATTGCTGTAACCATGAACCAGTTAGCAAGACATCACTACAGGCCCTGAATTAGTCCTTAAATGTGTAAAGAGGCAGCCATTTCACTGACCCAAGGACATTGTGGAACACCACTGCTGGTGACTGTGCCACTGTGCTCTCACCAACACCAAAGAAACTGATGAATCAGTAAATCAACAAAAGGGATGAATTAATACCTGTCCCCTGCGCAACACCTTTACAGCAACAACTGAATTGCATCAACTTTCCAGCATGAAAGATTCCTGGGTGCCTCTTTGTCTCTGTGCTTCTGTTACTTGGTTAAGACTGTGAAAGATACAATGCATATTCACCACATTAAAAAAAAAAATAGCGCCAACCCCATTCAGTGGATACATAAATAAATGAATCAAGCTACAAATAAAAGAAGCTAGTGATTAAATGATTGTTCTTCCACCAGTGTTTCACAGTCCGCATTAGGTTAATCACAAAGTGTGGTCAGGACAGCAACAATGTTGTGCTAATTAATGGGCCTCCAAAAAAGAACTTTCTTGTAACATCCATCTTAATCCAATAAGTGTAAATAAAAATGGCACTGGTGGCAGAAAAAAGAGAACAATACGCTGTTAAATCCACAAGAAAGTTTTCCTTTTTTTCCAAGACGTTCATAGTTCACAATTGGCTACATTGTCTTTGACACGTAAGCTTAAGCAGGGCCTAATCAAAGATTTTTGCAGTTTTTTTCTTTTTTGCATTCAGTTTCCTTGTCATTTTGCAAAACTTTTCTCCAATCATTGAGAGGAGAAAACATAAAAAGCCTCAGAAATTACATGTCCATGATGAGTATTTACAATAGCGATTAACGATCAGTCTGATTCCCTTTTTTCACCTCTGGCACATATAGAAGTAAAAAAGGACAATTTGTCTCCAGAGGGAGGCACCCAGAAATGCACGCAATCAACTTTAAGGCTTTTAGTCTATGTGGTGAAGAGGCAGAAGCAAAGCAATGACACACAGACACACATATCCTCACACATACATACACAGACGGTCAGCCCAGGATGTCCAGATAAACAGGTGAGGCCTTGGCCAGGCTCTGGAGCAGATTGTGGATCTCTTTGATGTTGAGTCTCATGTAGGGTTCGCGCTGCCAGCAGCCCAGCATCAGGTCATACACCTCTTTTGGGCAGGTCCGAGGCCTCTGCAGTACACGGCCTTGTGTGATGCACTCAATCACCTGCAGGGGGAGCCACACCAAATGCACACAAGCTATTCTACACTGACTCACCAGTTATTAGGTATACGAGTGCAGGGCACAACCTAAAGGCTAAAACACAGAGGTTTTATATGCATCTAAACAAGTCAACGTGTTTTCACATTTTCCAATAGCAACGACATCTGTGAATTCTGACAACTGTAGAATCGTCTCGTCGTCTGAACTCTGATGTAGTATTTGCCAAACTGTCTTGTTTTTTTTTCAGCAGTATTTCATCTAGCTGCCATCAGCCTATTCAGAAAAAAAATTTGTCTCCTTTATATCATGCAACATCGCTGTGATGACCAGCTACATTGGGGGGTTGTGTGTCTGCAGTGGAAAGCGAAGTAGCTGGTACCAAAAGCGAGTAGAGTCAAGTCGAGCCGTACTATGCAGTGGAAAAGCAGCTTAAGTCTATAACTGTGTATAAGATTTCGCACCATATTATTACAACATCTTATTTTAATCACCTTCTTGGTGGCTGTAACATAGCACCATTTTGAAGCATATAAACAGCTCATTGCAAAAGCTAAGCAGGCCGAAGTACAGCCTCCATATCCACATAGTGGGTTAGTTTTAAACACTCTTACAACAAAGCCTCCCCAAGTAAACAATGAGAACAGTCTGCTGCCCTTCATATGAATTTAGAACCATTTTTTTAAGCATATACATGACTCACTGCAAAAGCTAGCCAGGCTAAACTACAGCCTACACATGGTGTGGTTAGTTTTAACAAGCTATAACAACTAAGCCTCCCAAAGTAAACAATGAGAACATTCCCCTTTCAAATAAATGCAAAACTGTTAAAAATGCACAATCAGATTAATAAAACATAATTCAGTTGGCCTACATCATGCTGATACTTGCTGTTCTAGTTTGTAGTAAAAAAAAAATTGCCAGTGTCTAGTTTTACACTGTTGTATTGATCCATACATAGTGTTTGCATCAACCTATTACAATCAACCCTACCTCTGGGGTAAGTTGTAACATTTTCGCTCAAACTACTTTAGGCTGAATTCTTCACATACAATATATGCTCTGAACATAGTTTGTTTTCAAATTGTTGTTCAAACTAAAAATCTAGGTCAGGTTAAGCCTCACTTTCCCCTGCACCTTCTTTAATAAAATTTGCAGTTTTGTTCAGATGTCACAGATACAGCAGTGTTGCTGGGGTTTTTAGATATTGTGTACACTTACTGACTACTCTCTATTAGACACACCTGCCTTGTTTGCCCATCTTGTAGATGTCATTTGTAGAGACTATGGCCCACCTATTGCTGCACAGTCATCCTCTAGTCTTTCATCAGTGTTCAGTTCCTGACCAAAGGACCTGATGGCTGGATATTTCATGTTCTAATATCATCAAAATATCGTGTGGTGTACTGAAAATGGATCACTACCCAAATAACATCTGGTCAGTGGCTGTCCTATGGATGTCCCATTCCAATGAGGGACAGAGTAGATGGTGCCTATAAATTGTGCAGCAACAGATGGGCTACAGTCAGTAATTGTACACCTAACCAATGTGCAAAAACATGGCAGGTGTAACTGATAATAGTCAATAAGCGTAGATACAAGGTAGGTGGCAACTCAGTGTCACTTCATCAGAACATTTTACAAGAACAAATAGGATACTCCACAAAATTCTTAAAGTAGAATTCCATTGATTGTTCATGTGTACATGAGATGTTGTCATTCAGAATGGTGAAACCGTTAACTGAGAAACTTACTTAACAATAAAAACACTTATGCTTAGAGTTTTATGTAAAAATATTTAATTTGTGTCCTAATCATCAGCAGCTTATATACTGCAAGAAAGCATTTTTCCATCTGCTGAAGTGATGGATTCATAGCATCAGTTGCTTTAAACACAAGTAGAAGCAGTATAAGTTTACATTCTTTATAGGTAGGTGCCAAACGGGTTCTTTGGAGCATTGCCATAGAGGACAAATATTTACATGCTTAGTTACTTACTAAGTAAAACAACAGAAAACCTGTTAACACAGAGCACACTTACAATAGAGGTCAATGGCCACTGGGTTTGAGTCAACAGGGTGAAAAACCCTAGAGCACTCCTTTGCACAAACATTCATTAAAAGGTTCTTTAGGGACCCAAAGGTAGTTCTTCTATAAAATTGCTCCAAAGAACACTTTTTTTTTTAAGTGTATAAGTCTGACCTCATTGTTGGAGAGCTGGTACCAGGGTTGCTTGCCATAGGTAAAGATCTCCCACAGGACCACCCCAAGGCTCCACACGTCACTCTCTGTGGTGAACCTGCGGTACATGATGCTCTCTGGAGGCATCCAGCGGATGGGCAACATGGTGTGACCGCCCACCTGCCATCACGTGTGAATGATTTTATTGTGGTATATGGCTATCAAGTAAGTTACATTTCATTTACATTCATAGCTTGTCAGTTAAAACAGTTCCATTCTCATATATAGGCTCCAGTAAGTTGTTGATTCAGTGTCTGGCATTTCATGGCAAAAGGGGCTGGTGTCCCATATCGTACACAAACACACACACACACACACACACACACACACACACACACACACACACATATACCCAGAAGGCTGCTGACACAGCAGAGTGTTTCCGCCAGTGTTGGCAGGGGGCGGATTTGGGAGAGCCCTTCAGTGTCAGATGGTCAGAGCTTTTTCTGGAACAACTCGCTGTGGGGGGAATTGTCTTTTTTATCGCACATTTATATTTCATCATGTCTAATTGACTGTTCTAAGATTTGTAGATTTAAACAATCTACAGTTTTTTGGCCAAATATTTGCTCAATTGTTAACAAAGACTGTAAAATAAACAGCAGAGTATCTATTTAATTTGTACTTGTGACATTTTTGTAGAGCTTCAAGATCTAAAATCAATATAGCGAACTGTTTTTCATTGTAGGGCTCTTTAGGATTAGAGAATTTGCATTTATAGGAGATAAAAATAGCAGATTACTGTTATTATAATTATGACTGATACACTGCGTAACAATTTTCCAGCTTTTTATCCTGTTTCTGAGCCTTGCTCCTGGGTGAAATAGCTTAAACGTCTAGACCTTCCAACACTGTTAAAAATAAAGGTATTTTTTTTATTTTAATTTTTTTTATTTTCATCAAGGTACAAACAATGTAAATGTACCCTCAAAGGTTAAACAGTGGAGACTAGTCGGAGTGTGTGGAGTCAGTGCAACTGAGAAAATATCATTTCAATGGATTATGGTTCAATTGTTTTCCCTGACTAAAAGTACTTAGATGTACCCTTGAGGGAACTGCCCCAGTTACAGTTTTGCACCTTTTATTCTGAGAGTGTATGGATCTATTCTAGGGCCAGAGTATTACCATGGTCCAAAGCTATCATGAGAGAGAGTAAGAGAGTAGAATATTTCAGACTCTCATATATGAACATAACCACCTTACCCTGTAGTAATCGGTGCTGTACACATCTCTGGACATGCCGAAGTCCCCTATCTTGACAAGCAGATTCTCTCCCACCAGGCAGTTGCGCGTGGCCAGGTCTCTGTGAACAAAGTGCTGTGAGGCCAGATACACCATGCCGGCTGCTATCTGCTGAGCAATGTGTAGCATTTGCGACTGAGTCAGCTCCACCAGCATACTCTGCTGCCCATCCGCCATCAGCACCGCATCTGGCCCGTGAGCCCTGGGAAAACAAGATAAAGAGACATTAAAAGAACAGTTTGACCAAACCTGCTAGTGTAGCTAACAGTGACTATAAGCTAGTTGGCACCAATTTTCACTTTCATTTATTGTTAGCAACATTATCTTTTTCTGTTTAAACTGTTCCTTTAAGAACAGCACCTCTCATACAAATGTACCACCAAACATTGCGTAGAATACCACCAACTATGCAAAGACACCCTTGAATGTGTTCACAGGTACAGATAAGGAACACTAGCTAATGTATAAACACAAAGAAATATACACTATATGGACAAGTATTGGGACACACCTATTGATCATTGAATTCAGGTGTTTCATTCAGTCCCATTGCCACAGATGTATAAAATTAAGCACCTATTCATGCAGTCTGCCTTTACAAACATTTGTGAAAAAATGAGTCGTTCTAAAGAGTTCAGTAAGTTCGAGCATGGTACTGTAATATGGAGGACCAGATTTGCCAAAATGAAAAATAAATAAAATAAAAAATAAATGACTTAGTAAATTAATATATCAAGTAGAATTGCAAGAATAATGATCCGCCCAATGACAGCTGGGATAGGCTCCAGCACCTCACCGCGACCCAGAAGGATAAGCGGTTTAGATGATGGATGGATGGATGGATTAATTAATATGTCTGCATTTATTTATGTCTATGTAGTAATTTCCCCTTCTCACTAATTTTTTTATTTTTTTGTTATTTATGTTTCTTTATTAACATTTTTCTGTTTTTCTCTTCATTTATTTTCATAACTATTAATTTCTATATGTACTTATTTCTCTATTTATTTATTTCTGTATTTCCTTGTCCTTATGCTAATAAAGGGGCTGTCAGTCAATGATGTCACAGCGTCTTAATATTCCTATTGGTTGATCGAAATCAGATTCTGTAGATTGATTGTACATGTCTTGCTCTCTCTCAGTGGTAACTAAGGACAAGACAGTACAATAATGGCTTCTTACAGGCAGCAGACAGCCAGAGATCTGAGACACTCGGCTGATCTGGCTGAAAATGCAAGTACAGATTGTTTGCTCTTTCGCGTGGAGGCTGTAGCGGACAGTTTGCTCCATTTTGCTGCCTCTGCTGATAGAGAGGTCGACCCTGTAGTGTTCAGAACTTTGGAGGAGGTGGTTCATCGTCTTTTTCTGCAAAGATAAAAGACGAAGATTCAGATTACACCCAGACATTTGGACGCCCTTCTCACATACTGCCTGTGGAAGCCACGGAAAGTTATTTATCAGCAGGTTTGTCTGTCTGTGGCATTGCAGTTCTTTTTGGAGTTGGTGAAAGAACAGTTTAATCAGCTCTTCTCCTCCTGGTCTTGACTGCTAAGCCTGAACATGAAAAACACGCCCCCTCATTATCATATGAACGACGAAATACAGAAATAAATAAGTGAATTAATGAATAAATAAATAAATAAATGAATTCATGAAAAAAATGAATACATGAATAAGCAATATCTACTTTATTTAGTTTTTTTTATTTATTGATTACTGAGCCATTTATTTTTTAATTTTATTTATTTTTCAATTTGGCAAACACGTTTTGTGGAGTGATGAATCACGCTTCTCTATCTGGCAGTGTGATGCACAAGTCTGGGTTTGGTGAATGCCAGGAGAACATTACCTGCCTGACCACATTGTGCCACCTGTAAAGTTTGGTGGAGGAAGGATAATACTATGGGGTTGTTTTTTAGGGGTTGGCCTAGGCCCCTTAGCTCCAGTAAAGGGAAATCTTAATGCTTCAGCATACCAAAACATTTTGGAGAATTGTATGCTTCCAACTTTGTGGGAACAGTTTAGAAAAGGCTCTTTTCTCTTCCAGCATGACCGTGCCCCAGTGCACAAAGCAAGGCCAATAAAAGCATGGTTGGGGAGTTTGGTGTGAAAGAATATGACTGGCCCACACAGAGCCCTGACTTCAACCACATTTAACACCTTTGGGATGGACTAGAATGAAGATTGCGAGCCAGGCCCTCTTGTCCAACATAAGTGTCTCACCTCACAAATGCTTTTCTGAATGAATGGACAAAAATTCCCACAGACACACTCCAAAATGCAAAACGTGGATGAACTCCATATTGATGACTGTGGATTTAGAATGAGATGTCATAAAAGCTCCTGTAGGTGTAATACATAGTTGTCCCAGTACTTTTGTCCATATAGTGTACATGCAGGTACAATTGGTGTATACACTCTCAAAAAAGAACAAAGTAAACAACTGACTTATTAAAACTTTGTTTTGCACACGTCACACACATATGGATACCTGAGGAACTTGTTGAGGTCTCCATGTTTCATATACTCGAACACCATAATGAGGGGATCACTCTCCACACACACGCCATAGAAGGTGACGATGTGCTCATGCTGCAGGTTAGTCAAGAGCTCTGCCTCTCGATGGAAGTCGGCCCGCCCACTTTCACTTGCTTCTTTCAAAGTCTTTGTGACACACATTTCATCTTAAGAATCATTACATTGGACCTGATGGTCACATTACAATGACCTACCTACGGTGTACATTTTAGGACATCCTCAGACCTCAGCATCAGTACTCGGGCATCAGACAGATCATCATCATCAGAACATCATTCCTCAAACTAAATGACTTTGAATCTCAGGAAAAAATATCATCATGTCTCAGATCTTGTGTAATGGAACATCAGACCAAATGGCCTCAGGAAAAAAGGTATCAGCTTGGTTAAGCATATACTGGTTCAGTGTAACTTAGGAAACTATTGTGTATTCTCGATATAAAAGCTGGTCTAACATTTGCAAGTTTACTTATAACAAGTTTACTTATGTGAAGTATGCGCTTGCAATTAATGGCAGCTCCATACCCCACATATCCTCTAACACAGTACAATGTAAGTGTTACTAGTACTTCTAATGTTTCAGGATTCTAGATTTTCATACCTTAACAGCCACCAGGATCTTCTCCTGGTCTGGTGATAAATTGTAGCACTCGGCAAGGAACACTTTGCCGAAAGCCCCCTCTCCAAGTTCTCTCTTCAGCACTATGTTGTGGCGTTTGATGTGTTGCACAACTACAGAAAAATGCACACAGAGCTAGTGATCAGCTGGTTTCACAAGCTAGACTTGACGTCACCCAGTAAGGCTTATTGTACTACAAAGCCAAAAACCACCTACTTCGACAAGAAGGAGTGACCAACCACAAACTGCTGTTTTAGCCTTCACCTTAGGGGTGAATGCCAGTTAAAGCAGTGAAAAACATACTTATTGCCCAGGTAAATGGTTTCAACAATTTGCTTAGGTGCCTAAGACTTTTCTGTGTGCGGGGCATCTGAGGCCAAATTAGTGACCAGCTGAACCGAGTGTGATCTAGCACAATCATAGTTACAGTTCTTGCACCTGTAAAATCTACAGTTAGAGACCACCTGCCTCTAGTGTAGTTGCCATGGTAGTGGAAGGGAAGTTACCATAAAAACTGTTCAGAGGCAACTCAGGCTAGGGGTTCTTAGTGTGTATATGTGTGTGTGTGGGAGAAGGGTGTTGGTAGTAGCCTTGTGCACCCTGGCAACTCACAAGTGTCTGATTTCAGCATGCTGCTGGGGTTGCGGAAGTACTGTGGGTTCTCAATCACCGGTATCTTGGTCATGCCAATGATGACAGCATCTGGGCCCATCTCAGAGGACGACGGCGTGTTGTTACCATTGGAGACATGGTGGAGTGGGCTTGCTGAGTCGTCGTCATTGCTGATAACTGAGGAGGAACCTGAGCAGGAGAAGAGAAGAATTACAAACCTGGTAAAGAGGCAGAATGTCAAGTTTTACATATCATTTAACAGTACCTAGAATGCCCATATTTTACCACACATGGAATTCAAACACCCACTGAATAGGTACAAGACCATGAACAAATTTTAGAATTCTAGAATATTTGAGTAATAATAACCTTGACATCAAATGCCAGTTGACACTGGACATATGTTTCCCATAGTAATATTTATTTTGCATGCAGATCAACTCAGATTAACAAAATAAGGTTTAAAGTCTTAGACTAAGCTTTAGGCCTATTGTTTTGGGGAATTTTCCATTAAAGTTGGCATCACTGATTTTTAAGACAGAACAGAACTTTTGAAGTATTCTTTTCATATTCTTGCAGCTGACAATAAAAAAGGGGTCAGAAGCTGCCCCAAGCTCTGTAAAATGGAGAAAAAACAAATGTAGCGGACCATCAACACACAGCCAAAAAAGACAAGGAGGCGTTTAGACTTGCCAGTCAATCATGCTGTAAGTTCCACAGCACATAGCAGGGAGCCATATCTTATCCTTATAGCTAGTGAGCTACAAACCTGATAAAGTTCTGATAAAACCAAGTGGAAACTGAAGAAATAATGACAAAGTAAATAACACCAAAATGCCTAGAATGGCTTACACTGCCAAACAAATCAAGAGAAGAAAGACAGAAGAAACAGAAACTGAAAAATCCTCTACAGAGTAAAGCCCATGGTAAAAATCAGTGTGGCTTACCAACGCTAGACAAAGCTAAAGGAGCTTAAGGGCATGAAGATTGATGCCAACCTTGCTCTACAATATCCGCTAAAGAGATAATAATTATGAATAACACATCTGAGGCTAATGAAGTGCAACAACCAAACAACTAATTTAGCACCAGCATTCAGGCATTCTAGATTAAGTAGATTTATTGTCAGTTTGTACTGTACAACGAAATGCTTTTCTTCACATATCCCAGCATAGAAAGCCAGGATAAGATGTGACACACACCCCAGAGAGGGCTAAGTGCCTTCTTCAGGGATCCAACAGTGGCAACTGAGCAGATCCACGTATTGAACCCACAACCATATGATCAAGTGCCCAGGGCTCTAACCACTATGCTTCCCTTGCCATAGCCAACTCACATAAACACAAGAATGTGCAAACTATAAATGTTTCATCCAAATGTATATCTGTAGTAATTTCAGGGTTAAACCGGCAGCCCACATCTCCAATGGTGTGGCCCCAGTTTGCTAAATGTAATCGAGCTTCATGCAGTGCATAGAGATTAGACAAAGCTGAAACATTTTATTTTTATTTCCTTTTCCATCTTGAATGATGTAGCAGTTACTATTAGACGCATGTGTGGTCACTAGTGTCCAACTGCTACACTATTTAAGGAGGAACAGAAATTAAAATAAGAAGATGATTTCCTTTAATGACTAAAAAGCTAAAAAATAAGTGGAGCCTCAAGAGATTAGTGTATCAAATTCAGCACGACTGGCACTGGCTGACAAAACAGGCAGTGCTCTACAGAGTTTATTACATTTTTTACATTACCACAGGGGCATAGCCACAGGTCAATGACAGGCCTACTCAATCAAATGGAGTAAGAATATTTATCAAGCTGAATTTTTAATGATGATGAAATTTGATTTGTTTTCTCTGCATGCTTTCACTTTATAGAGGCCATTCAAATCATTATGCTGCCCCAAAGCTCTGCCTTATTTTCCTCAGCCCTTAGCCCTGCTTACCACCGGTTCCTATCTACCATTGCTTCAAGCCTTCAATTTGTTCTCATGTGCCAGTTTTTGAATTTGAATTCCCAGTTACAGTTAAAATATGTAACTCGGGACGTTTACAAGTATACATATCTTTTAAAGTATATTGTTTTCTACCCATCCAAAGCCAAAAACAAATGTAAAAAAGTTGTCTTCTGTTTGCCGCAAATTTGGTACTTACAATGCTCTTTTACTACAAAAGCTGGCATGGTTTTTTTGAAAACATCAAAGCACACATCTAATGTTACTTCAGTCCATTGAGTCATTACAGGTAAGATATAAATGGCCGCTGTAGCAATATGCTGTGTTTGTTTTGTTAACAATTTTTAAACATTTTCACAAAATAAATCACTAAAATTTGGACCTAGCCAAGGACTAGATACAAGCCTGACTAAACTAACACATGCTTACCCTTCAGGCCAAACTTTGAGCTTCTTCCATACTTGAGAAAGATCAGCATCAAGATGCATCCAGTCAGTGCAACCCCAGCTATTCCCACCACCACATATACCTGCAATAGATAAAAAAAAATTAATAGATAAAAAAAGTCTTCATGAAGGATTATTGTCTAGCACAGTCTCACACTCAGTGCCAAACTGATTTCTCTGTATTTGTGCAAATTCTCGAAATTCCATATTCTATTGCCAATATACTGTTTTTTCAGATGAGGCTTCTAACCTGAAATAATACATTTTCAGTGTATTGTTTTACAAGTCATGCAAACTGACTATTGGGCTCCAGTTTCTATTTACTGAAAATAGGTGCAGACTTACGGCAACTTTGTCTTCCTGTGGTGGGATCTCTAAACACAAGACCAAAATGTATCAATGTAAGTTTTAAAAAAAAATGAAAACTTACTGAAAACCATACATGATGCTCACAGAGACTGCATGAGAAAAAAAACAGACATACCTGGAGGGTTAGTTGTATCTGAGCAGAGGGTTTGCATGCCAGAAGAGTTACGTAGTTCCAGTACAGAGCATGACAGAAAATAGTTAGTTCAAATTAATAACCTATATTCAGCTCCATCCTGTAACATGGTAAAATAGCATCTACAGTTTTGTTAGCTCAGAAAAAAAATATCGTAACATAACATGGATGTAAAGAGAAAGAGCAATTCCAGAAAAACAGGGGTTTCCGACTCCAACTGAGAACCATAAATGTGAATAGCAATGGATAGCCAAGACGGGGGGGGGTCACTGCAGGTATGCATCAAATACACAAGAATGTGATCATACATTCAGAAATTAAGCTAATCATTCATCCATCATATATGTAATTAATTACAAGCCTCATGGATATTAAACCAAAGGTAGTCCTGGAGAATTTCAGAGAAGGACTTACCATAGTAGAACTCATCTGTGGAACAGAAACAGTCAGACGGTTGGAGCTTGTTTTACACATATTTGCTAAATCAATAACAATGCTCAGCATGAAGCTTGGCTACAATCTTACAGTAAAAAAAAAAAAAAGATGCCTAAGGGTTTTTTGTACTGATACCACCTTTGGCTCCATGAAGAACTTTTCAGTGGATGGTTCTTTAATGCAACACTCCAACATTTTTCAGCCCAATCTATATCGCCACCACCTTTTGCGTATGGTCGCTTACCACATGCAATAAACTTAGATGCTCTTTCCTGTAAAAACTAAAAACAGGCTGACTCAAAACACACTAGCCATTGTTTTCTATTAGAAACATATTTTAAGTCAGCTTTCTGTTCACAGGGACATGTGTCTAAATCAGTGGCTATCAACTCTGCTACCAGAGATCTATCTTCAGTCACTCCCAGCCCTGATTAAACACATCGGATCCAGATCATCATTTGACTTAATTAGTTGGACTACTAAAGCTAGATTTGGGCTGGAGCAGAATTTTGAAGGAAGGCCGATCTCCAGGAGCAGGGTTGTTGACCAGTAGTCTAAATTACTGTCCATGGTAAGTACCTGCATAACTACAGAGGTGGCAGACAGAGATCAGGTTGAAAAAGCTCTATTCCTTAAAAGAACCATCCACTTAAAAGTTCTTCAGGAAATCAAAGATGGTTCTTCCATGGAATTGCTGCAAAGAACTCTTTGGCACTCTATTTTTAAGAATGTACCATTGGCCAAGTGCACCCAAGCCCACCTGTTCCTGAGTGCTCCACGTCAGGGATGTGCATAAAGTGTGCTGTGACATTCTTCTGGTCGTCACCAAACTCGTTGGTGGCCACCAGCGTGTAGACGCCATTGTGGATGTGTGTGGGGATGTCCAGCTGCAAGCAGCCATGGTACTCGCTCTCTGTTGACTCATGTATCTGTGTTTTGATGTAGTCCTGCTCCTCCAGTGGCTGGCCCTGGTGGTACCACTGCAGCTCAGGCTTGGGGTTGCCTGTCACGCTGAATGGAATGCACCAGTCGTGGCTCCGCTCAGGCTCGTACAGCTGCAGGATGATTGGCCGGACTGACCCGAGCAAGGGGCAGGGAGGGAAGGTGGGGAAGAGAAGGAAGGAAGGGAGGAAGAGGAGAGGAGAAGGAGAGTGACCATGGGGATGCAGCGGGGGTGCCGAACAAGAGGGGCGAAGGAGCGTGGTGAGATTCTGAAGTTGTTTGGTAAACAGGAAGAGAGTGACAAAAGAGGGAAGTACGGAGGGGATACTAGGAGGAGGAATTGAGCAGAACAATAAGAAATAAACAGGCTTACTGGAGCATTAGGGACAGTTATACCAAAAAGAAACCTACATGTCAACAAAAAGGAAATAAAACTTTGAACTAGAACATAAATCACAGCTAATGAGCAGACATAATAAGGAAACAGACTAATAGGAATACAGACTAGTAGATCTGTTAAAAATGCTGTTGGTGTGTTTCACGCACTTTACCTTATATTTCCCTGTACTTTTTACTGGAAAAAGGCCTGTCACCGAAGTCTCACAGCACTCTTGTTTAACTGATACATCGTTGGCTGATAATGTCGGCTGATACTGAGATCTTGCAAATTTATTAGTATTGACATAATTCCCACGGATAAAGCACCAAAAACATATCCCAATAACCTATGTGAAGAAAATAATTTGCTTATGATGATCTAACAGTCTTAAAAAGACTGCTAACGTGACATTATTTGCTCACATCTATCACTGCAATGCAGAATTGCTAAATCTGAACATGAAACATTACCATGGTTAAGTTAACCAAATCTAAACTTCAGCATTACAATATCATAACACAAAAGATGTAGACTAATAATGACAAGTTATGATGACAAAACTAAAAATAAGTTGACTTTATGAAAAGTAATAATTGAGAACTGACAATCATATTTAACACTTAGCACACTGACAGTCATAACAGTCAGAAAAACACTTTAAGTAAAATTCTTCAGCAAAAAAATTAAATTTAGAATCTAAATAAAATCTAAAATTACATCAGCCAATATTATCAGTTGTCAGAATCTTTTCCCCACAAACATTTCATATCAGTCAGGCCACAACTAGTCAGTATATGAAAGCAAATGCATATCATTGTTGTAATTCATTTTTTACTTTTTACTTTTCACACCAACTGCCCTTTTCTGCCCATCTAGCTAGGTTTATAAATACTTGGACAGCAACAAAGTTATTATTTCAGTTATTTACCACAGCATATGTGAGATTAACTGAAATAATGAGTGTGAGCTGAAAGTGTAGACTTTAATTTGAAGGTTTTACTCAGGTAAATCAGGTGAACAGTGTAAGAATTACAACCATTTTTAGGGGCTCAAAAGTAAGTGGACAATTGGTTGCTCCGCTGATCCATGGCCAGTTGTGTGTTATTTATTCAGAATTTCTTTTATGTAAGCAGATAAAAGGTCATGATAAAAGAAGTTGACATCAAGTGTGCATTTGCATTTGGAATATATTGCTATTAATTCTCAACATGAGGTCCAAAGAGCTTTCATTACCATTGAAACAAGCTATCATTATGCAGGAAAATCAAAACAAAAACATTAGGTGTGGCCAAATTCACTATGTGGTACATTCTGAAAAAGTAAGCACAAACCAGTGAGCTCAGAAACACCAAATGACCTGGAAGACTACAAAAAACAACTGTGGTGGGTGACACAAGAATTTTTTTTTCCTGGGTAGGACAAACTTCTTCACAACAGTTGGCCAGATCAAGAAATACCTCCAGGAGGGAGGCGTATCTGTATCAAATGTGGCAATCAAGAGAAGACTTATTAGTAAATACAGAAGATTTATCACAAGATGTAAACTATTGGTAAGCCCCAAAAATGGGAACACCAGATTAAACAAGCCTGTACAGTTCTGGAACAACATCTTATAGACAGATGAGACAAAGATCAACTTTTACCAGAATGATAGGAAGTGAAGGGTATGGAGAAGTAAAAGAACCTCTTATGATTCAAAGCATGCCACCTAATCTGTGAAGTATGGTGGAGGTAGTTTGAAGCATGTGTGGCTACCAATAGAATGTGTTCATTTCTCTTTATTGAAAACTTTTCAAAACTTATTGGATGGCACTTTACAGTGCAGATTGACAATGACCCAAAGCATACTGCGAAAGCAACCCAAGACCTCAATCAAATTGAGCATGAATTTAAATCACTGAAGGCAAAAATGAAGGTAAAATGCCCAAAGAACAAGCAGGAACTAAAGACAGCTATAGTAATGACCTGGAAGAGCAACACCATCATCAGGGCATCACCCTCACCAGTGTCTTGTGATGTCTATTGGTTCCAGACCTCAGGCAGTCATTGACTGCAACAGGACTTGCAACCAAGTATCAAAAATGAGAATTCATGATTGTCAGTTTGTCTGATTACTTTTGAGCCCCTAAAAATGGGGTGAAATGGTGTGAAAATGGTTGTAATTCCTATACCAGGGGTGTTCGATCCTGCTCCTGGAGATCTACCACCCTGCAGAGTTCAGCTCTAACCCTAATCTAACACACCTGATACAGGTAATGGAGGTCTTCAGTGGGGTCTGAACTTTAGAGCCTGGTGTGTTGGATCTGAACTCTCCAGGGTAGTAGATCCCCAGGACCAGGATTGTGCACCCCTATCCTACACTGTTCACCTGATTTGGATGTAAATTCCATCAAATTAAAGAATTAAAGCTGAATTAATTAATTACATTAATTAAAGCTGAATGAATTTTATTTTAACTCCAATATGTCGATATCCAAATATTTATCATCCTGATGGTAACATCTAAACATTTAATAACCAGTGGACCACTATAAATGGTCCAAAATAAATAAAATCTTGTTATACTATCGTACATTAAAGTTCAGAACATTTTTTCTTCTATACATTTACCATTTCTGAGATTCAAGGTTTTTTTTTAACAGGGATGATATATGCAACAGAGCTGCCCTTTCATTGACATTCCAAGACACAATGGCATTGGTAATGTGATAAATGGCAGCAGTGCAGTTCACCCACAGACAAAAACACACAGGGCCGAGTCCTTACAAAGTATGTTGAGGGTGACGGAGGCTTCGTTTTGGCCCACAATGTTCTCTGCATTACAGGTGATCTCTCTCCCGTTGTCACTGGGGGACAGACCGGTCAGCGTCAGCATGGACTGCAAATCTGAGGTTTTAGTCTAATTGAGAGAAAATGGAAAAAACACTGCTCTCAGAGAGGTTTGAAAGAATATGGACTATGAAAAGATATTCATCAGGATGTTTACACCTTGTCTTAGGGTCATGTGGTTATAAAGCCTGCACTAGAGTTAAAAACATTTTTTCATGTAGTCATGCACATATACAAAGTTGTTAGCTTTAACTCTGCTGACCAAAAAAACAGCCACCTCTTTGCCAAATGACATTGCCTATGCATACCCCTATACAGAGAATGGCTAAACTTTGAGTCGAATGTTCAAACCTTGATACAAGATATCTACATTTGTCTGTTACAAACAGGGTTGGGAGGTATTGGAAAACAAGTATTCGGAGCACATTTTCAAAATACAGAAATTAAGTAACTGTATCAGTCCAAGTTAAAGGCAGTATTGAGAATACAGTTACTTTTTACATTTTTAGGAGAATACTTTTAGGATACTTACCCACTAAATAAAAAAAACATACAATCTTCAAAAGAAAGAACATCAACGCTCACTTATTAACTATTTTAAAATCAGTGAATGGCATGTAGCAAACAAGCTTGGTAGACGAACTTTAAAGGGGACCTCAGTTAACAGCTTCTTTACAAACTGATATTCCTACTAAAGCTTGAGTAAACTGATGAACCAATGTGATGAGCCAGTTATTAATCTCAGCATTACTGAGTTCTTTTGAGGAATGATCAAACTAATAAAGTCCTCAGTAGTGGACGTTTTTGTGAGTAATAAGTTTAGCATTGGTGTTGTACTGGACTTCTGCTTGGAGGACAGCGGTGATTTAAGCCCAGGGCCCCGAATAATTCAGGGCCCCTGATTGGTTGTTTCTTTCCCTTTTTTAATGAGATTTATTGTTCCCCCTACCAGGCCCACCCAGTTAAACAGTGGAAGAATATTTAAGCCGACTTTTTAAGTTAATCAAATTTGATATGTTTTCTGTGAATGCTGTCATTGTATTATGGCCAAACAAATTATTACTCTCTTTGGCAAGTTTTGCCTTTTCTTCTAAGGCCTCCAATTACTTCACAACAACCACAGCTATCTGCCATCGCCACAAGCTCAGTTCATTATCAGTGTGCCAGTGTTTGAATCTAAAGTTCCAACTGCTGTTAAAAGATACAACAGAGCATGTGCAAAAGTAAGATTCCGCCATGTAGAATACGTCAGCGTCGGTTTTCTCTGAATTTAGTACTTAGAATGCTCTTTTATTACAAAGGCTGAAGTGGGCTTTGTGAAAATGGCAAAGCAAACATCTATCAAAGATAAGACATAAATAACCATTTTACATGCCTGCCATGGCCATATGCCTTACCTACAAAGATTAGGTTTAGGTTTTTAAGCTTTATCTCAGTCATGTCGTTTTCTTTGGGTCAGCACATTTGGACATTGTGTCTACCAAGTTAGCCTACTCACTTTTTCATTCCTACCCAAAACTTTACTTCTTCCTACGCCACTGAATCAGATGATATACTACAGCTTCTTGTGGACCTAGGCTGTTTTGACAATGTTATAGTTTTACAGAGTAAACTACCACACACTACGGGAGAAGTGACTGATTGGATGCAACTAGCATATATATGCTCAAGTTCATCGCAAATTTCAAACCCTGACCGACTATGGCTTTTAGTGATTTGATTCTAGATTAATGTTTGGTGAAGCTAAAACTGGCTTTTTATCCACCAGGTTCTTTTTAATATTTTCTGTTCCACCTTAAAGGGTGCAGCAGTCACAGGTGCCAGAATGCAACTGTGGCACCATTTAAGGTGGAACGGAAAATTTGAAAAAGAACATGGCGGATAAGAAGCTAACTTAAGCTTTGTTTAAGTTTGTGCAGTAATGAAAAGATGATGAAAGGCTATATTGGAAGTCACAGAAACAAAAGATTTCAGTTTTTGGACGCGGCATGTAACTAGACCCATAGGGCCCACAAACACTTGTCCCCCCAGGTCCCCTGAGCAGGTTAAAGCGCTCCCTGCTGGGGGATTATGAGAGCAGCAGCGCACAGAAGCAGGTGATAAGAATAAAATGAGAATTTTCAGAACTTCATTTAAATAATAATAATTTTTTTATGAAATGCATAAACAAAAAAAAAAAACATGAAGGAAACTGCCAACCAGTAACAGCGAGGAACAGTGTGAAAAAAAGTTTTCCCCACGTGCCTTGCCAAAAAGTACTGTAAATGTATTGTAAATGTATTCTGAATAGGTTACTATTTTATGTACTGTAACAAAATACGTTACTGAATAAATTTAGGGGCAGTGTATTCAGTATTTAGCCATCACTACTTTTTTAAAGTATTTTGCCCAACCCTGGTGACAAATAGCAGTATAGAAATCTATTACTTACAAAGTGTCTCACAAAAGTGTCAGCTGAATGATATGTCTAAAATTCAAAGCAGGAAACAAACATTGACTATGGATCTATTAGGCTATATGAAAACACTTTAAACACATAACACTGTGCTTACATGTGTTTGTGTTTGTTTTCTTAAATTTTCAGCATAAAAAAGATCCTGACTTTGTAGGACAGGACCAACAGTGACAGGACCAACAAAGAGGTTCTCATTTTGTAAAGTATAAATAAAACCTACATTTTTCATTTACAGTTTAAAAATCAAAACCTTTTTCTTTTTCCCAGAAGTTAAAGTTCTGATTAATTTTTTGGTTTGGCTAACAAAATTCTGATTGAGAGAACATGGAAAAAAACTGCTCTCAGAAAAGTGTGAAAGAATTTGGGCCTTGGAAAGATATACATCGACCATGAGTATGTTGATGTGATCGGTGTTTGGAAAACTTGCCTGTGTGCTCAGAAAAGCCAATTTATCTCCACCTCAGGAAATTAGCGGTGAAGCAAAGAGGAGGTGAACATTTAGCTCAAAGTAGCTCAAATTTTAAATCTAAAATTATGGCTAGTGATGGGTAATTACTGACAAGTCCCTCGCTCAGTTTAAAGCAGCCAGGGTTCCATCAAGTTGTTAAATTCCAGCAAATAACTGAAATGTCGCAAAAAAGAATTGTTTCCATCAGCTCTGTACAAGAGAATAAAACTCTACATGTCTATAAAAGCATGTCTGAGAACTATGAGCCTAGTTTACTTACAAATCTTTAATGATAAACAGTTTCATTTTTGATCACATGACCACTAAGACACACTGGCAAACATAATGGACATGTACATTAAACTGCTGCCAGCACGTTATATCTGTTTAGCATCTAATATCACTGTGTATTTTCATGTTTTTTTCTTTGATAAGATAAAGGAGCCTCAAGCCTTATCATTGGGAGACTGTAAGCTGAATCCCTGGTGATGCCATCACCATCTGTGGCTGGGAGTCCAAGAGAGTATTACTGGCCTCGCTCTCTCTGGGTCTGAGTAAAATGGCCCTTCCTCTTTTTCTTCAAGCATGTCCAATGATACTCAAAAAAAAATGCAGTGGAGGAAGCATGTGCTATCCTCACCCTTCCCAGCTTGGTAGCATTGTGTAATAGGGGGAGACCTATCTAGTGGGTGGAACTGGAAATGACTCAGTTATTTGCAAAAAGTTAAGTAAAAATAAAATTCAAAAATGTAAAAAAGCTAAAATCAAGATATGTTTACATTTTTCATCAGTCCTCTGAAACCTTCTACCTTCTGCAATGTTTCATAGCTATGGCTGGGCAAAAATGCAGTCAAATGAAATTATTCTATTTGCATTTACATTATACGTTTAGAAAATATGTCTCCATTGTAATTTACCACATTTATTTTAAATATAAAACAATTATTCACTTCAAGTGAGTGTTCAAATTTATATGTGCATTTTGGCAATTTCATTTCATATTTGCAGTTTTTATAAATATATGTCAAATGTTTTATTCCGTATGTCAAATTATGTTGAACTGTCAGACAAAAAAAGTGCCACTCCTAAATTTAGTCACTGATATTTAGGTTAATTTATAAGTGCTCTCTGGACCCCAACCAGCACTGTTAATACACATTGTATCCCACAGGTTGCTGTTTTCAAGCAAGCACAAGGGACACTTTGTTGTAAGTATCACTGTAGTGACATTAAATATTAATGGAAAACATGGGTTTTTTAGGCTCCTGTGGTCTGAGTGTCTTATAGAGCTTTACAGGTCCATTACTGGGTGCAATAGAGATTAAATGTTTAAGTGCTTCTTCTTATTGAACAAATAGGGTTATGCATGGGCTGTTTAGGCCTGGTGTGATATCATATGGTTATAAAGCTTATCACTAAACTTCAGTTTAAAGCATGTTTAATGTAGTCATGCACATAAACAAAGTTGCCAGTTTTAACTAAGCTGCCCAATAAAAAAGCCACCTATTCACCAAATGACGCTGCATATGATTTGCTAAACTTTGTGCAGATTTTGTTCCAGCAAAGAGTTGTAACAGTTAGGTTGTTAACCTCAATTATTCAGTAGTTGTTTGCGTTATACCTTTAAACTTTCATACAAGATACCCATATTTCTCCGTTAAAATTAACAGTAGTTTTAGAAATCTATTCTTTGCATACAGAAACTCACAGAAGTGTCAATTTAATCACATTTCAACAATTCAGTGGAAGCAAACATTGACTTTGGACCTTTTAGGCTATATATACATATACATTTCCAGTATAAAAAGGTCCTTACTTGGTAGGAAAACTGTTTCAAACAAAATCAGAAACAAAATGTTTCTACATTTTTCTATTTCTTTTTTGACTGAAGTTAAAGCCAGCGTTAAGTTTCAGGTTGGCTTGTGTCATTTAAAAAAAAAAATGCAATTTCTGGTGAGGAATAAACATCCCCACATTTATTCCCACTTAAAATGGCTAAAATCACACACAATTGTATCCAGAGGCGTAAGTAACGAATTACGTTTACTCTCTTTACTGTAATTGAGTACAGTTTTCCCTGTAACGGTACTTTTTTGAGTAGAATTAAATCATAGTACTTTTACTCTTACTTGAGTTAATTTTTAATTAAATACTTTTACTTCACTACTTTAATTTTCATAACATTACAGAGTATAAATAAATTATGAGTGTATCAGCTCAGAACCCAATAGGAATGATGCACGGTTAAATTTAAAAGATTCACCAATCAAAAAACAGAAAAACACTTCAGAGATATCCAGTTTGGTGGAGAAGGACAGAGGAGGAACAGAGCGTGTCCAGACAGTCATTTGTATTTATTTAACATGAACTAAAGAAAATGGCATTATTATCAGTGGCCAAGAGAGAGATCCGCTCTCACAACTCGACTCCAGCCTGAGGCAGTGTTAGCTGAGCTAGCTGATCTGAGCTAAACAGGTACCGTGTTTACGGATTTCTTCTTTCTTTTATAGCTAATGTTTCTGTTTTATTACACTGGAAATCTGTTGCGTATATTTTATTACAGTGCTTGTCAGACACTTTAGTTAACAGGTGTCGCCCACAGCCCACAGTTTACTGTTTATACAGCCTAGTGCTGCTGTTTTGGAGATAAATGGTCGTTTACGGCTGTGAGACAAGAAATCTAGTCTAATACAGGATCTTCATCAACTCTGGACAGTGATTCTGTCGCGCTGTCATTATTCAAGCTGACTGGCCTGAAAAATAATATATTATAGTAAAATCAAAGCTGGGTAAGTTGCTGATGTTGCCGCTGATTTTAATGCTGTAAATGTTCTGAACAGATATCTGTGAAAATATACAGTTTGAAGGCTGTGAATGTGTTTACTGTCTGTAGAGGTTCATACCTATTAACGTAAGCTAGAGTCCAGGGAGCTGATCGGCAGCAGAACTCTCACTAAAATTACCTTATTAATTAAGCAATCTACTCAGAATTTTGACTGTTTTTTTTTCTTAATTAAACAGTAACAGCCTCTGCTCAGTCTTTCAGGGTTTCTGAAATACTTTACTGAAAACCGATAAACTAGGAAGTCTTATATAATCATCTAACCATGAAACGCATGCAGTGTAATGTAAACCTTGTTCCTTACTCAGTTCACAGATGTGTCTAAATGTGCTCTAGCAGAGCGGACTGTGATCAGTTTTTCTATACAGATTATTTTCAGTGATGTAGCCGAATCAGATCAGAAATATGTTCAGGTCATAAAAGCAGAAATATGAAAAAGTAACTAAGTAACTCTGTACTTAAGTAGTTTTTTAATGAACTACTCATTTACTCTTACTTGAGTAATTTTATTTACTAATACTTTTACTTATACTTGAGCAAATTATCACTACAGTAACAGTACTTGTACTTGAGCAGGGATTTTCAGTACTCTTTACACACCTGGTTGTATCACATCAGGTGCACATGATTAGAACATCGTTACTCAGCATTTTGAAGGAGGCTTGCCTTATTTAAACCTCAGACATTTAGTTTGGTGTGCTCCTGACTGTTGAAGTGAGAGTCAACACCACGGTGAGATTGAAAGAATTGTCTGAGGCCATCAGAAAGAAGATTGTAGCAGCATATGAGTCTAGTAAGGGATTTAAAAAGATCTCAAAAGAATTTGAAATCAGCCATTCCACTGTCTAGAAAATAGTCTACAAGTGGAGGACATTCAAAACAACTGCCAACATGCCCAGGTCTGGCCATCCAATCAAGTTCACCCCGAGAGCAGACCGCAAGATGCTTAAAGAAGTCTCAAAAAACCCTAAAATGTCATCATGGGACCTACAGCAGGCTCTTGCTACTGTTGACGTGAAAGTGCATGCCTCTACAATCAGAAAGAGACTGCACAAGTTTAACTTTCTTGGGAGGTGTGCAAGGAGGAAACCTTTGCTCTCTAAGAGAAACATGAAGGCCAGACTGAAGTTTGCCAGAGAGACAAAGTAGACAAAGACCAGGACTTTTGGAATAATGTTCTTTGGACAGATAAGTCTAAAATTGAATTATTTGGATACCATAACAGAAGGCATGTTTGGTGTAAACCAAATACAGCATTCCAGGAAAAGAACTTCATACCAACTGTGAAACATGGAGGTGGAAGTGCCATGGTTTGGGGATGCTTTGCAGCTCACCATCATAGAAACCACCATAAATTCTACCATGTATCAGAGGGTGCTTGAAGAACATGTGAAACCATCTGTAAAAAAATTAAAGCTGGAGCCAAAACATACCAGTAAATCCACAAAGGACTGGCTGAAAACTAAGAAATGGAGAATCCTGGAATGGCCGAGTCAAAGCCCAGATCATAATCCCATTGAGATGCTGTGGGGTGACTTGAAATAGGCTGTACATGCAAGAAACCCCTCAAACATCTCACAGCAGAAAGAATTCTGCGTTGAGAAGTGGGGCAAACTTTCCTCAGACCGATGTCAGAGACTGGTAGATGGCTACAAGAAGCGTCTCACTGAAGTTATTTCAGCCAAAGGGGGTAACACTAGCTATTAGGGGGTAGGGTGTCTTAACTTTTTCCTCAGCTAGAATATGCATTTTTGTTAATATTTTCTTTTCTAGAGATAAATAAAAACAAGATTAGACATCGATATGTGAACATTTCTTAATAAAGAACTGAATATTTAATGGGGTGTCCTAATTTTTTCACATGACTGTACACAGTTATATACTACGGAAGACTCTTTGTACTTTGTATACAATCTTTTTTATGCCAAATAACAACTAAGTTCTTTTAACCAAAATTAATTGCACAGTAATGTTGAGTTTGTACTACATACCTGCCCAGTTAATGCCTAGAACCTGTTGTGCATTTCAGTGTAATTTAGTTAGACTGCCTTAGAACTTACCATCATGTTTCCCAAAATAATTGCCTAGCACTCTAGGGTCTGTACCTCACACTTAAATGGTTAATACCTAGAACTTAAGGAGCTGTAAAAGAAAACGTTACCAATTGTTTTTTTTTCTCACATACAGCAGCGTCTCACTCGAAGTCTTCCAGTTTTTTCCATCAGCCCAGGATGATGGAGGGCATATGTACAAAAGTGATATTGCTGATTGGTAAAATTGGAGGCAACTTATTCTGTGTAACAGTCTTCCGCAGTCTCCCTGTGGAATCTTGAATTCAATATCATGCAGCCAGTTGGCAGCTATGTTTTACAGATACGTTTTACCTCATAGGCAGTTGTAAGTGGTGGATGGTCAGTGGAGTTCACGTTCCAGGAGACCACAGGGGCTGGAGCTCCAGAGGCACTACATGCTACTATTGCATCACTCCCTGCCATCTGGGTAACGACATTGGGGATGACTTCTACTCGCGGATACTCTGAAGAGAGAGAAAGTTGACAAGTTATTGATATGCTACAATTCTCACCTCAAGGCTGCTCTTCAGCAACACTCTTAGAAATAAAGAGCCAAATAGGTTCTTTGGAGATATATCATATTAGGTTCTTTAAAAGAACACACCAACATTTTTCAAACTTAACTCCACCTCCTGCATCTGCAGCATACAGTTGCTTACCATTATCTTTAACAAAAAAAGACGCATTTCATTTAGTAAAAGAATAGAAAACCTGTTGACTCAAAGCAGACTGCACATTGGCTTGAATTCTAAATATATTGTATTTTTAATGTGTTTTTTTTATTTACTTTTCTTGTTTGAGTACAGAAAGAATTTGTATAATTTATCGTACATGGTAAGTACCATAAGTTACAGCTGGGGCAGCTGGTTGATTAGGTCAAAAAACACAGGAATACTCCTTAAAAGATCCATCCACTGAACTGGTGGTTCTTCAATGGAAACACTCTAAGGAACCCTTTTTTTCACCTTTATTTTGTAGACCAAACTCATTTTCATTCAAATACAATATAGTAGACCTCACAGCTACAATTCTTGTTGAATTTCAAGATATACCTTCAAAATTTAGTCAAGTTACCTAGAACATGTTCAGTCTAACTGTACAGAAAAGACCATAGCAAGTCATCCTAGATGACTGAAAAAAAATTATGACTATAAAGTGTGGTGAGTATGCTTATCTTTTTAGTGAACGGAATTACCACATGAGGGGACAGTGAGTTTAGAGAGGGTTTTTACTCTGCCCCCTTCTTGCAGACACTGAAGCTGATCTCGCTCGCTGTCCTCCAGCCAGGCCTTGATCCACATGTTCTCACATGCACACCGTAGAGGGTTTCCAGCCAGCAGCCTGTAATAACAGAGGAATAGCATTAAAACACACAAACACTGGAAAAATTAATCATATATTAAACAAAGATAACAATTAGCCACTGGGGCTTTGTAGTAATGTGAGGTTTTCGTTGCAGTTTCATACAGATGGTTGATGTGCATGGTAAGTACTACATTGTAAAGAACACTTACAAAGTTGACATGTTGCAGTTGCGAATCGCTGTCCATGACAGTGTTGACAAATTGTTGTCTCTGAGATTCCTACAAGTCAGAACATTAAAGCTTACAGCACATTCTATAAAATATATTTACATCAGTGATAACATCTGATTTTACAGGGCTGTTTGCCATCATTCTCTCCTGACATGTAAAACCCAAGAACAATATTATTCACTATAACGAATCCAGCAAAAAAAAAACAAAAAAAACTTACAAATACTGAAGTTTGGCATTGTTGGCAAAGGCTTTTAAAGATACAGATGTTAGATGAGTCTTGGTCACTGTTCTGTATTGGACAAATTTATATGGATGTTAGGCACACAATGTCTATATCTAAACATAGAAATCTAAAATGAGCTTGAGCTATGAAATGTTATGATTGACAAATACTCACAGATTCCTGAGATTTGTGTAAAACTTCATGTGGTCCTCAGTGATTGTAAATAGTCTGTTCTGTTTTGTGATATATCTGAAATAAATAAATAAATAAAATTATATATATATATATATATACATATATATATATATATATATATATATATATATATATCTATCTATATATATATATATATGAAGGATAGATTAGTAAATATCACACATCTTGAAGAAGAACTGGTTACTGCCCAGATTAACTGCTTTACACATAATGTTTTTTCTTTTTTCTACTTTGATATGTACAGTTGGGTCTAAGACTCTTTCTTGATTTAATATGAAGTTTTTCATTACAAATGATTATCAGCATAACAATGTGATTGAGTAGACCCCTTTCACTCAAAAGTAGAATTTGCCTAAATTTGAATAGTGAGCTAGAAATATTGCAGATAGGTATAAAATAAAAAAAATATATAAATGAAATGACACTAAAAACAATAAAAAGGTTTGGCATTGAACAACTGATCATTAGCAACAGGTTAATTACCGAGCAAACAGTTCTATCATACGCTCTGAGTATTGTATAGGCTGTGCTTGAGGCCTATGGCTAAATGCTGAGGCCTGACTAATTCTTTGGCACTGATCGTGTTCCCAACTGGTCCAGGCGCCTGCATTGCTCGCTGCCCCATCACACTCGGCTTTAATGAAGGCGCTCGTGAAAGCGCCGTGATTGCGCCGTACGCGCCTAAAGTGGCTCCACGAGCCGTTGTCGTGGAAACGGAGTGACATATTTGCGTAGGCGCTGATGCCGTTCGCCTTGCGGACGCTTCGCTAGACTCTGCGCGAAACACTAACGCTATAACGGACTGGTTATAGTGTGATTTCCCGACGACACGCAGGCGACCATTTTTATTCGGCATTTGTGGCCACGCGCGTGGACAGGATGTCCGTGAAAAGAGCAGGGCAGCTTATGGTAGAGATGTTTTCAGCGTCCATATCATCTGACGGTCCACCCAAACGTCCCTACATCATTCAAATGCAATGGATAGTCCTCAGCAGTGGAGAATCACTGAAATTGACACCGTTTTTCCAAGTGGCAACCACTAGCAATTTGCTGTGTATGAGGAAAATTGAAATTGAATTGCTGTGTAAAAGCTGCGCATTTCTGTTTCATTGCCGTGATATATGATTATACGTAGCCAACAGCTATAGTCAGAGAGAAGAGACACTACAGGCGTCCTTCAGAGCAACATCTGCTCTGGCTTGGTGCCTTTGAGCTTGTAGAAATTTCGTATAGGCTACTTTTATTTACCATGCTCCCCCCTTTCACCCGTTACAGATGCGCGCTCGCGCCACCACGGGCACACGCGCGCGCAACACACACACACATACACACACGCACGCACACATACGCACACACACACGACCCTTTACGTTGATCTATATGATGGTCGTGTAGAGATTTAGGATCGTAAGTATTTTTTTCCGTTTGGTGTCAATATATCGATTTTCGAGCTCTCATCACAGCTGTTCAATATATAAACCTGCATTAAACGGTGAGGGGATATGGGAAGGTTATTCGATGTCATCCGCGGTTTTATACCAGAGGATTTGTCTGAACCGCTTTTAAAAATCCTCTACATATATCATATATGGATACACTCTCAATTAGTCGAAATAGCAAGGCTGTCCAGAGACCCACACACACACACACCGTTTGTCTTCTGATTGACTATCTAGCTGTTACAGGCAGTGGCACGACACGTCTTCACGTCTCCTCTCCTCACCGTTTCACAGTCTGGCTGTACTTACATGTCCGTGATGTTTTCCATGTCGGTCTCGGGCACCAGGATGGGGAAATCCTCGATGCCAGGCTCTTGGTCGACGCACGAGATCCTCGAGGTGTTACATGAGCAGGATGCGGGACAAGAAGAGGCGAGCTTCAGCAGCCCCATCAAAACAACGTAAAAGCTCCAGCGAGCCATTCCGCTGAGCCCCGCGGCCATGGCAGCTCTCCGCGATAGTCCCCCCCCAACACCACCACCACCACCACCACCACCACCACCACAGCCACCGCTCGGTAAAATCACTTATTCCTCTCCTCCGCTGGCGCCCCGCTCGCCGCCGCTGAGGTGCGATGCGCAGAGCCGCTGGACGCCGCTGGGTGACACTGTCATGGAGGGTGCTTGAGCTTAGCAGAATGGCGAGATCACACCATCACAGGTCGCCGCCGCAGCTCGGGGACTCCAAGACGCTGCAGCTTCCTCTTCGTTTCTGTCCTTAAAGTCCACCTACCGCGAATTCTCGACGCAATCGTAGAAGAAAAAGCCGTCTGGATCCGCCACCGATTTTTTCTTTTTTTTTTTTGCCGTGGAATCCGAGCGGAGTAGAATCCGATAGGCTCCGCTTTAGCACGGCCGAGCGACTATAGCCAATCCGCAAAGAGCTTGGCTGACAGCGCTTCGGTCCCGCCCCCTTTTGTCCCCCTTCACTTATTCCCCCAGAAAAGAGCTGTGAGGTACGGATGGGCGATACCGCTACATTTCTCTTCGATACCGAAGGCTAATATCTGCATACCAATACTTATACCAATGCTTTTAAAAGTCGACTTGAAAACCAGTAAATGTGTTCATCAAACGTTATAATTATAAGTCTTTGCATTAGTTTTAAATTGCCACATAAACTGTTTTGTGGCAAGAAATAGCTCCGTATGATTTGCCAATTTAGAGCATTTACTCCATCACATATGACTAAGTGTGTATAAGAAGATGAAGATGTAACGAAAAGTAGGCTAGTGCACTCTACACATTTATTTGCTACAATTTTTTCACTTTTTACGCATCAAATACCAATTCAATAAAGATACACTTTTAGTTACAAAAACACATATTCAGTTTACTACTTGAAACACTTGACACCAGTCTGTTCATGTAAGGATCGATTTTCAAAAGAAACATCAGCATCGGTAGTTTCGATTCTTCAATACTGATCCGCCCACCCGTACTGTGAGCTGAAACACACTTTGCCCTGCTGGCGTTTCAGGCTTGTGCGGTGCTGCAGCGGCTCCAGGCGATACTTAGAGCTTGTCAAAGCCGCTGCCTTCCAGAAAGCGGCACAGCGCGGTAAAAGTGTGGCGCTATGGCGACCGAGGACGAAAAAAAAGCTAAGAAGGAGACGGAGAGCTGCGCGTGCGAGGAGGAGGTGGAGCACCTGCGAGAGCCTAGCGATTAGCCTAGCGTCGAGGACAAGCACATCTGTCCCAACAATCGCCGTAATCACTTTTAGCTGAGAATGTTTAAGATGCTCTCAGCGTCGTGATGTGGGCAGTTTATCACTGATACTGTCAACAGGGGTGATCTCAGGTAGATAACCTACGTCTTGTCACGAACTCATTAAACTCTAACGTGGGCTGCAGATGTAAGTCAGTTCTCCCTTTCCGGCTTCTTCAGTGCGCTATCGCGGCATACGAACGCACGGCATACACTACTGTTTTTATCTATAAGTTAGCATAAGTTTGAACGGTAATTTAATGCTGAAGTTGAGCTCGTATCGCTTTTTTCACCACCGCCACAACTTCACGGCTGGCAATTGCCAGAGTGTGACGTGCAGTGTGACGCACAAAATTGGCTGCATCTAAGAAAAATAATCACAGAATAAAACTGTCCGTGCCACTGCTAGAGTAAGTCTTGCGTTCCAAACGAGTGCAATGATGGTGGTGCAGGACATTTAAAAGCAGTAGAAGTAGTAGCTCATCTAGTGAAAGGCGACCAGTTTTGTGTTTATGAGTGTTATATGATGCGCCTAAGTGAAGGTGTTGAGACGGACATTAGGTTTCTCGATTAAATTGTCACTTACAGGTGTAGAACGTCAGGCATGTTTTCCTTAATCAATAGGACACGAGCCGTGATGTTATTCGCGATAACACATGACCTCGAGTGTTCTGTTGCTTTTATACAACAGTTAAATAAATACGTAAGTAAGAAATAAATAAATTGGGCCGTGAACGTGGCATTTAGTATGTTTTAATGTTAGCAATTCCTTCCGTCAAATTATAGTTCCTTACCAAGCAGCTTGTTGCCACGTCAGAGTAAAGAGCTCCGCTCACTCGCTGCACAGCATGCTGTAAGCCTCGCCTTTTGATGTACGGACTGAGCCATAAAACTGCCACAATATCAAGTTTAGCTCATTGTTGTCAATTTTTGCTAGATCAATATTAATGTTGTTTTGTTCAAGCCAGTCTGTAAAGCATTTTACAGCCCATTTTGTTTGGCGCATGGTATGCGGTTCATTTCTGGCCAATTCCAGGTTGTTTAGGTGTTCTTCTGTCATAGCTGCCGACTGAAAAGCTTGCTCAGTTGTAATGACAGTTTGGGAATTTAGTGTAATCTCATCTTCAGAGTCTGACCAAATCGGCTGTAGGTCAAATGTAATCTAAAAAGTATCCATTTTCTGTTTGTGCGCAAAGTAAGAACTTTAAACCTTCAAATGGCTTGAGCGTCTCCTACAGCTGTCAAAGTCGTTGCTTAGCAACACCTTCTCAGTGGAATTCTCAGAGAATTGACGAGTGTTGACCACAAGAGGGCGGAAAAGATACGATCAAACGGGCTCTGGATCGACCTAAGCAGCACTGTATTGAGTGAATTTGAGGTGATGCACATTACAGGCTGTACCATAAAGTACCACGTCACTTCAGTATTCAGTTATATTTGACAATACGTCAGTTATCTAAAGTTTGTCGTGGGAATGACGGCACTATCGTACATCCCATGATGCGGTACAGCAAGTTTTGTAGTTTTTGTGCTTCCTGTGGACAGACAATCGGTCGGTGAGATAAAAACGAAACTATCACAGTCGTTCCGTTAGTCACTAGAATGCCTAATATGAATAATAACCAACAAAACCGAGTGACTGAAAAAATATTACGTATTTTTAATCACTACGTCTGACATTTGTTATTGTGACATAGTGGCCCAGCACGCAATTGAGATGAGATCCTAAAAATGTAAATAAACAAGCAAAAAGCCAGTTGGCGTTGCCCTGGTGTTGAATGATAATGTAACTTTCCATACTTTGATGACATCTAGTACTGCAAACACCAGCTATTAAGTGCTCCTAATGCACTTGTAATGAATTTCATATTTACTTCAGAGGAGTGCTGATGTCCTCTGCTGTTTATCCGATGAACTGCAGAGTGCTAGAAACCAGATGTCCTTTTCCAGTACCGGAGGGTAAACAACGTTTATAACATTACATTGGCACTTGAATTAATGTGCCTAGCACAGACGCTCAATCGTCTAATAAATAGCCTTGCATGCATGTGTGCCTTGTAGGCTGTTTGCAGTAGAATCATAAAATTTATTGTGTAGCCTGTAATTATATGAATAACCTCAGCTACCGTAGTGGTGTATTTTTTCACAGCTTTAAATTGCAGATCTTTCTTTTGGGTAATGGTTGCTTGTAACTTGAAAATTATAAGTTAACCTGGTATTAGGCCAGATCAGTTACATTGGATGCACAGTGCTGAGAGGACACAAAGAATATGGGCTTAATTAATATGAATTGATATCAACAATACCTTCAAACTATATGTCCTTTCTGTACATATTTAAATAAAATCTGTTCTCTGCTGGTTGAGGATCTAATTGATTCTTTCCATAACGGTTTAACTGAGTATTATTTGTTTGTTGATGCTTATTGGTTCCAAACTACAAACATCTGCTGAGGGCAGATTGGAATATTATTATTGCTGTTTTTATTTGCTAATAAAACTGAAGGTATGTTATTTGGTTTATATTCAGTTGACTTTAGTTGGTGACCTCTGAATAATTCTTAAAGAAGAAGACATTCTGAACAATGCAAAATATGCCTATAGCTACATATATCTACACAAATGTGCCCAGTGCGTTTTAGTAGATAATTTTGCTGAAAGATTCATTAATAAATGGAAGACTAAAGGTTTAGACATTCAGTAACAGCTAATAATTTTGTTAGCATGGAAATGTTATGAATTCATAATAATTTTGCCTCTGTACAACACCACAGTGAATTTGAAATAAAGAGTTTAAGATGTGATTGAAGTGTAGGCTTTCAGCTTTAATTCAAGGGTTTTAGAATATTGCATTAAACGGAATTGTAGCCAATTTTTATGTAGTTCCTCTATTTTCACAGGCTCAAAAGTAATTAGACAGTTGACTACTTAGCAGTTTCATGGCCAGGTGTGGCCTGTTCCCTCTTTAGTTCATGACATATGAAAGAGATATGTCTGAAGTTGATTTTAAGCAGTGGTGGACAGTAACAAAGTAAATGTATAATTCGTTACGGTGCTTAAGTAGTTTTTTCGTGTATCTGTACTTTACTGAAGTATTTCCATTTTGAGTGACTTTTTACTTTTACTCCACTACATTTCAAAGTCAAATATCTTACTTTTTACTCCATTACATTATGTGAAATCTGTTGTTCCTTTTGGCTTATGTGTGCATAAAAACATAACGTCAAAATGAAAGAAGTGCAAAGCAAGCACACCAATCAGGGTACAGCGCACACTTTGTTTTGAGCTTGTTTTGACCTATTGGACATAGCTACCCAGTAGCATATGGTTCAATGTCAGTGCAACAGCGTAAAAGTTTGGGAGTGCCTATGCCTACATAAATGGTGGAAGAAACTCCTGACTCTAACTTAACTTTTTGTAGAAAGACCACAATATAGAAATATGCACACACATGTAGTTTTGAACACTTTTTCAAAACTCTCACTTTTTTAAAGCAAGTTTTTATTAAATTTAAACTTGTAACTAAGTTGCAAATAAATCTTAAACCAAAACTATGCTTGTTTGCAAAAGGTTATTTCATAGCCACTTGGTTCTACCTAATGAAAATTGTTTGCCTTCAGTGTTTTGTGCTTTTGATATTTTAATAGACATCTGTGTCAGAAGTGTCACAAGACCAACACTAGAGTATTTCAGTAAAAACAAAAAAACATTGCTAGTTAAAGGCAAATAAATTACCATATATGGAAATTTAGGTCTTCCTCTTTCAATAAATTTACTGAATGGAATAGATTATCTGCTTAAGTAAAATGAAATGACACCAGAGTGCTACAGGTTTCTTTCTTTGTAAACATTACAGTTTACGTCAGTGTTGCTGAACCTGCATCTTTAGTTGATAGTCTTTCTTGAAGATTCATTTTGCCTAAATCGAAGACTGAATATTGTGCGGTATTGGGACCATATTCATTCTTTCCTCTTTCATTAAAATTTCTGAATGATGACTGCAGTTTTGAAATGTTGATCTAGTGTGTAGAAGGAAAGCTGGGGAAGGATTTGACATAATACAGCTCAAAGTTTCACTCATATTTCGAACATTGTGAGTATGTAAAAAAACATAGGAAATGTATTCTCTTTTGTATATAATTGTTGGAAAAGTATAAGCGCCAATCCCACATTTCTGAAAACAAAAAATAAAGAAGACATAGACGCTCTACACTGTTGCTATGACAATAACGTTAGCGCCACTAAACGTTAGATCAGATCAAAGGGGTCGGGCCTTTTGTTCTGATTGACAACCACAGAAACCAATTATTCTTATATCTGTGACACTTTTTATTTGACAATCTGTCTATCCAATCAAATTCGAATTAAGACACGCCCTCCAAGGTTGTCTCCACCAATCACAGATAAAGGCAGGCGCCCATGTAAATTTGCTGTAAAATCAGGGTAGAATGCGTAGGTTTCTTGGTCAAATATTGGAGTGACGAACGGGGCCATCTGCAGGTTTGTCTCAAATGGCTCTCTAGTCTTTTTGAGTGATAAGAACACAATTAATAATTCAGTCGAACGCAGTAATCGTGCAGTATGTGTACCTTATAACTGTGGTGTAATGAAGTGTAGGGATGTGTGTCTACATTAATTGGTGTCATTAACTGTTTTGTCTATAGTTGCCTGCAAATGAGCTAGTTTGCTGTCTAGCTCGTTAGCTTGTTAGTTAGTCACAAAATAGTTATCAATCAGAGACCTTTGCTTTTCCTAACGTAGCCAGTTAGCTGATAACAACGTACCCGTGAAGTAGTTGGCATGACTTAGCTAGCTAGCTATGTAACCAGGTACTTGTCTTGAAAATGTAGCTAACGTTGATTCACATGTTAGCTTGGTCTCAAAGTCTTTGCATTGACGTGCTAACTTAACTAAATTAATTAACCGAGCTCCCAATTTCTTTCAGCTAGCTTACCTAGTTAGCTAGTATAGCGTTTGCTATGCTAACGTGAGTGAAGTCAGCCGGAAAAGCAAGCCATTTTGTGAATGGCTAAACAGCTAGCTAGCTAGTTAGCCACCTATCAAGACTTTAGACCATGGGGAATCTTGGTCTAATATTGATCAGTATATGAATTACGAGCGGTTAAGATGCTCTCCTTGGGTCCTTGATCAAAATGACAAACATTTAGCTATTTTCTCTGTTCCCGAAACCTACTTGTTAGTCAACCTTTGGTATATTTTGCTAATGCCGTTAGCTAGCGAGCTAAAATGCTACCTATGCACCATTTTGAAGAAATAGAAGTGCAGTGGGCCTGCTGTTGCTCGGGCTCTGTACCACCTCTCATGGCTGTTTTAGAGTCTGGAAATATGGAGCATGAACACTGGCTACCCATTAGAGTGCTTGTGCTTAGTGTTGTCTGCTTTGAAATAAGATATCCAAGCTGTCTCGCCACGGGTTTGTTATTGTTTGTCTTGCACACTTCATTTATCTCTGGCTTGTTTGTATGACCTTTTTTGTTATTTTACAAAATATTCATCCTGTGAGCTTAACATAGTCAAGAAATGTGTAACTCCTAGGGAGAGTTAAGAGTTAACAGTTGCACACAGTTTCAGCAGTAACCTTTATACAACCAATCATTGACACACCCACTTAAAAAGGCTACTAGAAAGGACCAAATGCTTGCATGAACCGTCCACTTGTCTCTGTTCCTTAGAGAGACACACGGAGAGGAGAGCCCGTTCCAATTTTCCTGTTGGTAGAAGACAATGGAGACAGAAATTGAGCAGCAGGAGGAAGATACTACATTCAGCAACACTGACACAAACGGTAAGGTTCACAAAAGACAAAATCTGTAGCACTCTTGTGTCTTCTTTCTTAACTGCAGCCTATAATATATTCCATGTTTCTAATTGCGAAATTGCTTTCTAAAATCATGTACATTTTCAGAATCGTAAACAGTACACATATGATGCGTGACATACGGTACAGAACAGACAAGTGCACTAGACACACATGAATACATTACACATTAAATTTAAGAAAAAATATCACATAAGCTAAGTAAAAAAATGAAAGATTGAAAATGAAAATAAAAAGAGCCAAAAAGACCTGAATGTATGAATATGCATAAATGTGCTAGGTCTGAGTGACAGTTACGGTGTAAAGTGACCTAATTTAAAAACAGAAGAATGAACAATGTTTATGAACACTCATACAGGCTTTTAAAGACAATTGCTTTGCCATTTTTCTTGAGCATTTATTTTGAACAGGTTTTTTTAATCCTTTGAACGTTTTTAAATTCCTTTTACTTCATTTGCATCCTCTTACCTCAAATGCAGAATCTTATGTTGTGAAGTCTTTCTTTACACGTGTATATGAAACACAATAAATAAGACAAAAATGTAATTGCCTACCACTTTTAATTAGAAATTCCTATCAATAGTAGCCTTAGTTATTTAACGTTTGTCAGAGGTATTAGTAAGCCACTGTGTAGTTTATGCGCAGTTGTGCTTTGCACCGCTTGGCCAAGCAGCTAATTTTTCTACCTTATGTGTTTCAGTATTTCAACACATGATTGTTAGTTGACTATGCTAAAAAGCATGGAAAACTAGACATATTGATTTAAATGAACAGGTTACAAAGATCTGTCTGATGTTGTTAAAATTTATTGTGAACAAAAGGGATGTGTGTTCAGTTTAGTATTTTTATGGTATGGTAAATAGTCCATATTATCCTGTAACAAATGTTAATACCTAAGCAGTCAGTCTTATCAGCATCTGAGAGTCAAAAGGTAGGCATGTTCCAACAATCCGACTCCTCGTTAGTCTAAATTACAATCTGTATGCATGTTGTTAACGTGAGCACTTCTTAATTTGTCTGCAGTCATGCATGGTCTTAGGGGTGGCTGATATGGCAAAAAAAAATTATACCATGGTACTTCCAAGACATTTTTTCGGTGCACAATATGCATTACAGTATTTCAGTTTCTGAGACGTGATAAGCTGGAACAGGCAAAATAGAAACTTTAGTGCGGCATCTAAAAAAAATACTAGAATAATTATTACACTTACAACTACAGTTATTTTTTTCTGGTGTTTTACAAACTGTCCTGTACTCAATCCAATTAAACAGGGGTAATTATGCAAACTTTAATGAAACATGTAGTCAGGGTTCTTTAAAAACTGACTATATCCATGATATAAATACCATATGACATAATTTATTGCATTGACGATAAAATATTGTCATATTGCCCAGTCTTGTGTGGTCTGTTAATAAACCCACTTCCTGCAGCTTGCAGTCATTTCTGGTTTAAGCCACACCCAATTTCAGTTTGTAATTTAAAAGATGATGATGACAGAAGTTTGGTTATTGAACTCTATATTGTTATCGGAATTGAAGTGTTTAGAATGATACCCATCTCTGGTGAACAGTGCCATGTTCTTCTGAGCATTTGGTAGCCATCAGGTTTGTTCTAGCGCATAGACAGTAATAGACAAAAATGCTTTTTGATTTATTTTTTTTCCCCCCTCATCAGATGTAGCAGTGGGGTAACTGTCCAATCGTACAGCATGAGTTACTGTGACAACATAATAAAGCTAATATCCAGGGTGGGAGGAATCAGCTGTAATCTAGCCAGTACACTTCATGACCCTGCTGCTTTTATTACAAATATAATTAAGTCTGAAATTGATTTAAACATTGAGGACATTACTTTTAATTTTTTGCCTTAAAGCATCACCTACATTGTTACTACTTAACCTTCTAAATAGATTTATTTTATAAATAGGATCACAAGCATTTTTTTAACAGGTTCACAAGCATTTTGTAAGCTTGCAGTGCTTGTTTCAAATAGTTTTCGTTTCCATTGCTCACTTCCATAGGCAAACGCCCTGCTGAGGACATGGATGAGGAACAAGCCTTCAAACGATCTCGCAACACGGATGAGATGGTGGAGCTGAGAGTGCTGCTACAGAGTAAAGTAAGCCTTTTTTATGAAATAGTCAAGACTTTTGTATCTATTAAATATTATACTTATTTGTAGAGATGCACCGATCCCAGTTTTTCTTTTTCAATACCTGTACTATGGGTATCGGCCGATGCTGAGTACGATCCGATTTTTAAAAAAAAAATTAATTTATTTTATTTAAAATCTTCATACCTCACTGTGTCTAACACAAGACTGCAGCTAGAACAAAAAAAGTAAAAGATTGGAAAAACAAGAAAGAAGTATTTCAAAAAATGTTATTAATATGCTTCTGGGTAGTGAAATATAGCAAAATAAACTAATTATATTTCCAGTGTAAACTCTTCAGTGCAACAGTAAAGTTGTAAAATCTGAATAATCAAAAAAAATGAAAATTTAACCTTTAAAACCTTAGCTTTTCAAATATTACAAGTTGCTGTGCTACTTGACATGTTTGTATTAACCAGCATGAGTCGTGTTTCTTGTCTTGTTAGCTGATGTTTCAGTTGAGGATTTTTAAAATGAAGCACGCTTCTCATTGATTTCATGTTTAATTACATTACTCAAATTTAATTTAACTTTATAGCCTACATCAAATATTTTTTGCTCACAAAGCTGATACAGTGTGAGAAGTTCTTGCGCAAGACTTGCACTTCAGCATAGAGAAACAACCAGATTTCATGCTTGCTAATTTAATTTCCTTAAACATAGATGTTTGTCTGTACTGTGAAAATTCGTAATTATTACATGTATGAGCTTTCTGTTCTGTTAATAAAATCAGGAAGTGTTTTGATGTTAGTCACATTTTGGAACACATTTCAAGTGAAGAGCCACCGCAGCTTATGCTGCATTAACATGTTTGCATTGAATAAATGGTAGAAAATGAAAATAAATTGAAAGTCCTTATTTGGCACTTATAGCTGTATGTGGCCACTGACGGCAGCACACAGCTATATCCAATTCATTTAATGAGGTCAGTATCGGTGCCGATCCGATATGTATCATTACTTATTTGTAGATGTAATAGTAGCATGAGCAAACGAAGAATGCAGAAAATAGTTTGGTAGTTAACAAGATGTGAACATATTCTACCAATCTTTCTTCAGCTTAGTGGTATCTTATGAAACTAACAAAAAATTTAACTTGTGTCTTTTCAGAATGCAGGTGCTGTGATTGGGAAAGGTGGCAAGAATATTAAGGCCCTTCGGACAGATGTGAGTATTTAAAATTTGGAGAGGATGGTTAATGTATTTATATGAAAGCGTTGTTCTCTAAGACTGGGACTTGCTTTCAGATCACCAGCAATCATACTTTCTAATTTTTTGTTGGCCTGCATGTTTTTTGTGGGTTTTATTTAATTTTTTATGTATTTATTTATTTATTTTTTGTGAGAATCTGGATTGATCTCAAACTAAAACACCATTTGATCATATTAAATTCCACAATTCAGCTGCCACGTCAATTTATTCAAATCAAAATTTAAAAAAGAATCTTATTCATGTAAATGCACCTGTAAGGGCACAAATCGCAAGTATTGCATGCCACTTGACCCCGAAGGGGAAATCTTACACTTGTTAGGTGGCGCAGTGATGTACTATAGCTATAGGTTAGCTCATTTGACAGACTCTCAAGCTCTCTGAAAGGGACCCGATTGTGGGTGGGGATTTTGACATTTGTACAATTAAAAGTTGAGAAGTGTTCTCATTTGCAAGTTCTCTTGAAGATTCTCTCTTGCTCGACAGGGATGTCCTGGCAGCCAATTCATTTTATACTAAAACCCCAAAACAGATGTCCTGACTCTTGAGCTGACCCATAGTCTTATTTTAACTACTTTGGTTCTGTATCATAACTGTCCAGCCCTATTTCTTGTGCACTCGTTGCCAAGTCTCTTCAGATTTTTTGGACATTAGAATGATGAGTTTAGCCTTGTATTCAATTAAAATGTATTCCTTCTCCCCCTCTTCCCTCTCCTTTACTTTTCCGTTTTTGGCCACCTTCCTCCGTTGCCCATGTACTGGATCGACATGCCCCTCCTGCGTTGCCCACCTTGACGTTGGCCCAACCTCCGCCCCTGAACGCCCGCCCACCTGACACCCCGGTTGGCCCCATAAACGTGCCCCTCCCTAAACGGGCACCTTACTTGACAACATGTGATTGAATGCCCTTGCCCAATGCCAACCTCCACGACCAATGCAGTACAATGCCAGTGTATCAGTCCCAGACAGCAGTGGCCCAGAGCGGTATGTCCCACCAGTTATTGCCTCACTGCCTGATTAGAACAGAGAACACATGTCTTTGATAACCTGCCTTCTGTTTCATTTTTAACGTTTTATATACATAGTATCCCCCTTTTAAGAAAAATGTATTGTTCCATTTGATTTTTTATGTCTTCTCCCCTTCCCCCAACACTCCATTCAGTCTTTATTTGGGACTTGTGTCAGTCAAAGTGTACTTATGAAGTCAGTTCTACCACACAAGAGGGAGAACTTTCCTGTCTCAGTTGTTCAGTTTGAATGGAAGGAGCACTGCTTGAAGTGCTTAAAGTTAAATATATCTTCATTGTTGTTGCTACTGTTTGCTGTCATTCCTTGCTCTGGTATTGACTGTGAATTGTTAAAAAGCGAAGTCTTATTTCTTTCTGTCCTTGTTGGCCCACCTTGCCCCCCACCCCCTTCTCCCCTTCTGCCCCCTGGGCCCACCACTTCACTGTTCTCGACATCGCTGTCCATGACTCTGGCGCTACTGTGCCCCCTCTCTGTCATCATCACTGTTGTCTTTGATTTGTCTCCGGCATCTCTCCCTGGTTTGGTTTTCCTCTCAGGCCACCCAACAGGCCCTTTCCCTGTCGCCTTGCTCCAGCTCTAAATCACACCTAGTGGTCTCCACTCACACCCCTCCACCTTTTTTTGCTTTTGCTTTTGCATTTAAACTTTTTTTTTTTTTTGGGCTGATAATTTTTTTAAATGTATTTAATTTTCTCTCTCTATTGCCGTCTCTCCCTGTCTGCCACCACCAAGAAAGGTGTGCCAATAGTGTCGTAGTTGTAATGACAAGAGGTTTTGTTCTTCTCCCTCCTCTCAAAATTTGCTAACGGTGGGGTAGTATAATGTAAGTGATAGTTTCTCATGGCCTGCAGAATGTATATTACCCAGTGATTCTCAGTCCTTCTGCTTTTGCCCATATCCTCAGGCCTAATGTCTTTGTTGAACGTACAAGGGGCAAATGCATGTCAGCATTTAAGTCCAGTGTTGGAAAACCTAAACATGTGTTCAACAGTCATCTTTTTATTTACTTTTTATGCATTTTTGTTAAACCTTTTTTCTTAAATTTTGTTATGCTACACTGCAGTTATATGGATCTAAAGGTGTGTGTCTGTTTTGCTCTTGTCTTCCATTATGCTTTTATTTGGCCTTCTGGTTGTGCTGCTGCAGCATCCTGAGTGTGAGTGCAGATATTGAGACCATCGGAGAGATTCTTTTAAAGATCATCCCCACTCTTGAGGAGGTAAAGACAGCACAGTTTCAGTGCCATGCCAGGCTGTGTATACACATCAGTGTTGCTATATAGTCAGGTTAGGTTTTTGGTAACTCAGAATTGTTCTCCCTCTGCATATGTTTTGCAGTACCAGCACTACAATGGTATTGACTTTGATTGTGAGCTGCGCCTGCTGATTCATCAGAGTTTGGCTGGAGGCATCATTGGTGTCAAAGGTGCCAAGATTAAGGAGCTAAGAGAGGTAATTGTATTATTCTATATTAAATTGCTTTTCCCCATGGTTTTGAAAAGAAGTCTCTCATTTTTTGTCCTCCTCATCCAGGAATCTATATTTTATGTGTAATGTACAGAGTAAATTAAAACACTGCCCTTGTAAAACCTGCTTTCTGCTGCAGACCTGCATGCTGCAGATATTCTGTTATTTACAAAAGTTTTACATGTATGTATAATTGTCGTGTTGATTTGCTGGAGCTTTCCAATTACTTAAATGTATTTGTAAATTCCAAAAACTACCCTATTCTGTTTGTCACCCTCACAACCTCACCCAAATGTTTTTTGCCAATTTCTTTTTATTCTGTTGGTGCAAGCATTGGTGAAAACAATAGCAGCAGCGAGTGCCGCCTCTACCTAATAAGTAGCTGTTTAGGGCCCTGAGGCTGCCAGGAGGCCCCCTAACAACTTATAGGTTGCTACTGTAAAATTATGTTGTCTTGTAGGTAGTGAAGCACTTGCCCCTTTACACCTTGATGACTGACAAATAATTTAAAGAACGCTCTCCATTAATGATTCCCACATATTTAACTGGCCCTTTTTTTGACCAATCGCTCACAAGCCCAGTCTTATTTTCTTGGCTCTTCAGTCTACGCTTAGCAACCGTTTCTGTCTGCTCCAGATATGGTGATTGTGTCTGTATCAGATGAAGGTTATGATTTTTCCAGCCCTTTCCAAAAACAAAACAAAATAAAAACATCTTTGGATTAATTTGTGTGGTTAACCTCACCATCAGCTGAACACACAGCAGTACTGTCTGCTTAAAGGCGCATTGTTTCATTTGCTGGTAGTTGATGATATCTATGTGCACAAAAATATTCCTGTAAAAAGTTTGTCAAATATTTGCAGTCTTCGCTGAACTATCCAAATCGTTGTTGACTTAAAATGGTTTTTAACATGACATTTTAATCGCTTATTGTGCTTATTAAGCATACTAGGAGTTTATGGCCTTTATAATTCTTCGGAAATAATTCTTATAGCATATCTTAAGGTAGCAGGCATACCTCAGTTTACTCATGTATATTTTAGCTTGTTTAGCACATTTTACTGGCTGGCATTTGCTATGAAAATCAGTATTAATCAGAATTATACTTATTTATATGTATACCCATTTTGAATTTGATGCCAGCAGCACATTTTCAAAACAACTGATTAGGTTCATTAGCAACAAGTCAGTAACAGAGTGGAGGAAATCACCACTCTGTAAAACGCTGTGCAGGGCAAATAGTGCAACAATTCAAGAAAAATGTTTCTCAACTTAGAATGGCAAAGAACTTGGTTTCATCATCAACGGTATGTTATATAATTAAAAGATTCAGAGAATGTGAAGAAATCTCTGCAGGGGACAAGGCCAAAAACCAATTGGCTGGCTGTGATCTCCAGGCCCTTAGGTGGTTCTGCTTTAAAAACGGACACGATTCTGTAGTGGAAATCACTGCATGGGCTCAGACACTTCCAAAAACTATGGCTGCATTCACAAGTGCAAGTTAAAACCACCATGCAAGAAAGAAACCATATATAAACAGGATCCAGAAACGCTGCTGCTTTCTGTGAGCCCGAGCTCATATAAGATGGACTGAGGCTAAGTGGAAAAGTGTTCTGTTGTTAAAAAAAAAATCATGGACGCTACGTTCTCCGGGCTAAAGAGGAGAGGGACCTTCCGACTTATCAGTGCACAGTTCAAAAGCCAGCATCTGTGATAGTATGGGGTGTATTAGTGGACGTGGCATGGGTGACTTGCACATCTGTGAAGTCACCAGTAATGCTGAATGATGTATACAGGTTTTGGTGCAACATATGCTGCCATCCAGACGTTTTCAGGGAAGGCCTTGCTTATTTTAGCAAGACAATGCGAAAACACATTCTGCACAAGCATGACTTCGTAGTAAGCGTCTGGGTGCTAAACTAACCTGCCTGCAGTCCAGATCAATCACCCATGGAAAACATTTGGCACATAATGAAACCAAAAATAAAACATAGGAGACCCAGCATTATTATGCAGCCGAAATACTATATAAAACAATTCACTTTAAAACTACAGCAACTGGTCTCCTCAGTTCCCAAATGTTTATAGAGTGTTGTTAAAAGAAGAGGTGATAGAACACAGTGGTGAACATGCCCATCTCAGCTTTGTTTAAAAGCTGTTGCTGGCATCAAATTCAAAATGGGCATGTATTTTTCAAAAAAACAACAAAATGCTATAGTTAGTTATGCTCTAGTTGGTGTTTCATCATTTTGGTCCATGTGACTCTTTTTAACTTGCTCCTGCCCCTCTAAGGGTGTCTCTGCATGGCTTTGCATGAAATTGGGACATTTATGAATAACAACCAGTCATGTGAAACATGAGGAGGAGTCACCAAAGAAGCATTTATAATGTTACAAAAGCAATGCTGTTGCCACTGCCACTAGGGTTAGATCCAACTAAGCTTAAAGTTTACTGGGCAGACAAGAAATACTGCATCATGATACATACCCCTGGATTGAGAATGCTGAGAAGATTATCTGTTATTTAAAATGTTACTGCTCAGAACTTCAAATAAGCACACAGTCATCAACAATACACAAATTAGCCAGTTATGAAATATATATGACAGCTTGTGGTAGTCATTTCTATTTATTAGCCTCTAATTTTGCAATGCATCAGCTAGCAAGATGGGGTGGTTCACCAAAACAGATGATTGGCTCTTTGAAATATTTTTTAAAATCCTAAATTCCTTGAACACTGCTGTAGTGCTGTAACACTGCTTTCTTGTGTCAACAAAAACACTTATGTTTTTTTTTTTTTCCCTGAATTTTTTTTTTTGTTTGTTTCTGAATTATCCATGGATCGGGATCATGAAATTGTAACCAAAAGTTGTGGCATAAAATATCAATTAATGGGCTGTATTGACCAAAAAACCCCACAAGAGGTAATAAAATCAATTTTTTTTCTTTTATGTTTCAGAATACACAGACCACTATAAAACTCTTCCAAGAGTGCTGCCCACATTCAACTGACCGCGTGGTTTTAGTGGGTGGTAAACCAAAACGAGTGGTCGAGTGCATCAAGGTCATCCTTGAACTGACATCAGAGGTGATTAGTGTTTAAAACCAGGATGTATAATTACGTGGTCGTAAATGCTGGTCACACATGATGAAATTGTGTTTTGATTTAAGACATGAAAATCTGAACTTTGTCCTCACCTCCTGCTGAACAGGCTCCTATTAAAGGACGTGCCCAGCCGTATGACCCAAACTTCTACGATGAAACATATGACTACGGTGGTTTCACCATGATGTTTGAGGAGAGGGGACGGCGGCCTATGGGAGGGTTCCCCATGCGTGGGCGTGGGGGTTTTGACCGCATGCCCCCTGGACGTGGTGGCCGTCCAATGCCCCCCTCCAGGCGAGACTATGATGATATGAGTCCCCGTCGAGGGCCGCCGCCTCCTCCACCAGGGAGAGGTGGCCGAGGTGGGAGCCGTGCCCGAAATCTTCCTCTGCCTCCTCCTCCGCCACCCAGGGGAGGGTAAGAGATCAAAATCATGAAGTAACAAAATATTATCTTACAGGATTTCCCCTCAAACTTGTGTTAGTGGATGGTAATTGGCTATAGAATTTGTCCTACTGCTCAAATGTCTACATAAATCCTATTTGATTTAATGAGATGACTCTTTGTTTTTCTGTTAGCCTATAATTTTGTTTTCCTTCCCCCATTGTCTTACTTGTTCCAGGTCTTTTAGCAGTGTCTCAATGCTTGCCATAGCAGGCAGCTATAGCAAGCATTGTGGTCTGCTATGGTGAGGCAGATCAGATCATATTATGCCCTTGGTTTCCACAAGCGTTTGTAATTCTGACTGTCTGGGTCTTACTTGCCCACTTTTTGTTTTGTTTAATGAATTGTCTGTGCATTCTCACCCTGCTTTGACCAGCTCACTTGGGCCCTGTTTTATCATTTTTACAGAGGCGACAGGTTTTCCCACCAGAGCTACCATGGCAGTCTGGACGACAGACCAAAGTAAGTAAATTTAAGGAGTGGCAAAGCTCTAGTTGTTTTTAATGCTTGGAAATGATAGCAAATGTGTTTCTGCTAAACTAAGACCTCACTAGTTATCTGATTTTAATAACAAGTTGACCTTGCTGCCATGTGCGTTACTTACTGTTGTTTATTTAAAGGTAAAAATTTGAATTTCAGTTGATAAACTTTTCTTTCTTTTAATTCTGGGAGTATTTGGTGGTTTAGAAAAAAATTGTTTTGCTTTAGCTAATGCTCATTAGAATGCCTAAATGCTAAGGATACGGTCTTTATCAACCTCAGCTGTGTAAGTATGCACAGCTGAGCTACAGAATTCTAAATATTTCTCTCTTGCTCCAAGTGACAGAAGGGGAAGACCTGGAGACCGCTACGAGAGCATGGTGAGTTGCTATTGTAGTTGTACAATAATGCCTTTGCTTTTGTGTCTGAAGATAAGCAGTTCACAGCTAGTTTTGAGTCTTGGGTAAAAGGGACCCTTTTGGAAAAGCGCTAGGGAAACCCAAGTGGAACTGCTTGTTCCGTCTCTGTGAAATGACAGTGTAATGGATGCGTATGTGGAGCTTTTATCCCTGGTGCACTAGTTTGGGCTGCTGTTGCTAAGCAACAGATTTTTGAATCACTTGTTGCCTTGGTTACCAAGGAGCTGCTAGATACGTAGGTGAAAGCCATCACGCTCGCCAATGAACTCGGGGCAAAGCAGTTGCAAGTGCATAGCTCTGTAGAATACAGAATGCCTGCTGCTAATGGCTGCCATTTGGAGATTTAGCAGACAAAGTTCATTGTTTAATTGCATTGTATGTAACTTACATGTGTTTGTAGGCATAGACTGGACTAACTCATTCTTTATTTCTCTCTAATTGAACAGAGTGGAGGAGGATATGGTGAGTGTTAAGATTTAAGATTTATTCCCATACACACTGTACATACATTTTATATATGTGTGTGTGTGTGTGTATGTATATGTATGTGTGTGTATGTGTGTGTATATATATATATACACACACAAAAATTAAAGGTTACCGCTTACCCCACGTCAAACATATTGCAACACCCCTCTCAGCAGCTGTAGTGCTTCCTGGCTTTCTTTAGCTGCCATCTTTCTCTCATACCTCTAATATCTTGACCACATTTTCTTTCCCTTATCTTTGTCTGAAGACAATAACTCTTCTTGGGAGCCCTTCCAGTCTGGTAAGTGTACACTATACCTTTATGTGCAGATGGGATGTAGGATTGAACTGATGTCAGTATATAATTTTTGTCACTGTTTTTTACCAGGCGGTCGAGGGTCTTACAGTGATATTGGGGGTCCCGTCATCACGACACAAGTGACCATACCTAAAGATGTAAATGCACAGTGCAACTGCAATCCTGCCTTTTATGCATGCATACATACATACATACATACATACATACATACTCACTCAAGTGAACATAGTAAACTTTCTTTGCTATTTTTAGTTGGCTGGTTCCATCATTGGAAAAGGAGGGCAACGGATCAAGCAAATCCGTCATGAGTCGGGAGCCTCCATCAAAATTGATGAGCCTCTGGAGGGTTCAGAGGACCGCATCATCACTATTACAGGAACACAGGACCAGATTCAGAATGCCCAGTATCTACTGCAGAACAGGCAAGTTCAGAAACCTAACGGCCAAGCTTTGCAAATTGTAAGATTGGGCCCAATAGCAGGCTGTTACACACAATAAAACACACATACCATGTTTGTCTTCTCTTTGCAAGAATTATTCACTTTTTGATTCTCAATTATTTTTTTCTGTCATGGGGCAAACAAGTAGCAATATCTTTTTTAGGCAATGTATGCTTAATCTTCTGAGACTACCTTACTGACCTTTCTTTCTATTTCTACACTCTTGACTTGATTTTTGATGTCAAGAAGCTATGTGGTCAACGGCATGGCCTGTTGAGCTGCTAATTTGTGCTAATTTGAGAGCAGCATAAAGAGGTTTACTTACTGTACCTTTAAAACCTGTTGTGTAACAGTTTAGGTACCTTTGACTGCAACCCCTGGTATGCTTTTCCCCCCCTCTGCTTTACTAACAGTTTGCTACATCAGGGGGAAAAGTTGTTCACTGTGACTTACATAAGTGGTTTTGTCAGTTCCATTTATAGTAGAAATCCAAACTGAAAAGTGACTGAGGGGCAAATGACTTCGAGCCCAGGAGAGTGGGAGAAAGCTGGCTTGCTTCTGTGTGGAAGACTTGTGATTTTGTTGTTGTTAGTTAGATGAGGTGACAACAAATCACAGTCTGCCCTACAGCACAGGCCCAGCCTCATCTGCCCACCCTTGTTCCACCCACCCACCCCCCCCAGCTCTTACAGCCTTTCTCATTTCACTAACCTTACCATGACATGTTTGCTTCACTCTGATGTTCTTTTAACATGCATGTCTGCAAGTTACTCTATACATTTTGCTGCCCAAAGCACAACACGACTGTATTATGTTCCTAAATTTCTGCTAACCTTCAGCATTACCCTGACTTTACCCTCCTGCCTTTACAGCACCATGTTGCACTAATCCAAACATTCCTTTAGTGTGTAAGTCTTACTTCAGCTTGCGCCTAACAATTTTCATTGATCTTACTTACATTTGACATGTTACTTGTACTCTAACGTGGTAACAAAATTTAGCTCGTAATTCATGCCTGTGTACAATTTTTTTTTCTAGATAGAATAAGCATGATCAATAATCCTGGTAAGCTGTGATATATAAATTTCAAATGGTGTTCTTAGCCTGTCGTCTAATAAAAAAATATCATAATACAAACCTTATAGTTTCAAAAGATCTCTGCTTCATTTAAATACAGTATTGGAAAAAGTAGAATATAACAGCTTTTTTTTTTCATTTTACATCTTGGACTTCAATAACATTAAGAGTACTGTCAGATCTCGCATCTAGAGAATAAAGATACAGACAGCTAGGGTTGCAGCAGTAGTCAAAGGTAGGGCTGTCAAGGCTCTATTCCTAACTTTTTGTATTAGTGTTCTATTTTGAAGCGATAATGTCAGTTTTACTTGCCTGGTGCAGTCCAAATGCTTTTCGTGCTGCTCTCCATAGCATTTAGAATCATATTAATATTTATTTCTGTATAAACAAAGCATGCTGGTTAGCGAGCTGTCCGTCCAGGGCAGAAACTACCTTATTAAAACTGCACTGGGCTTTAAGACTAAGTTAAGACTGAGTTTAGCGCATGCTTGAGTATAAAGCTTTTTTTAATGGCTTAAAGGAATAGTTTGTTGAAACATCTAATAAACATGATTCATCAGTTACCCTGGATTTAGTCGATTAGCCAAGACATGTTTGGTACCTGGCATCTGTTTCTCAAGTTCACAACGGGAGAGGCTAGGTTAACATTGCTAACAAGCTAGAATTGGACTGTCACCAAACTCATCTTTGTGAATACATGCCAAAATCTTTATTTATTTGCTTCGAAACTCTATCAAAAATATATGTAAATGTTTAAAAAAAACAGTTTAGTAAAACAGCATAGATAAACCTTAAACATTTAAGCTAGAATTTGAACTTACTATGATCTGCATAACACCCCACTTTGTGGTATTCCTCCGTCACTACTTGGGTATCCTGTTGCTTGTTAGTATAGCTAAGGCTTCATAACTGTAAGACAGTTTGCTAGAAGTTGCATCTTGGATAACAACAAAGCTACAAAATGAGGTGTTCCATTTTGTATAAACAGTAAACAGAACAAATAACTGTAGATGTAGCATTAGTCCTGTTTATTACCTCTGATTCCCTAATGATGCAGAACCATGCAAACTGCTCTCTGTCGCTCGCAGTGACACAAACTAGCAAGACCCTTCAGTAAAAGTATAATGCAGAATCTCACAAAGCTAAAGTTAACTTGTTCTTCACCAGCTTCTTTTTCGAGTTTACCATTCCATCTTAAATGGTGCAGCAGTTTCATCCTGGCACCTGTACAGATACTGGAATGTAGTGCACGTAAATGATGCACCATTTATGTTGGAACAGAAAAATTTGCTAATACGAATCTAGTTTCTGCCTTGTGAAAAAAAAGCAGTAATCATTTCTAACCTGACGATTACAAGGAAGGCAGCAAAGGGAATATTCTAAAATCTACAGCAGTTCCAAATAAATTTCTATGAATAAGAAGTGAATTTAAGGTAAGCTTTGTTTACTTTTTCTCTGCCTTCGCTGTCTGTTTTGTGCTCATTTAGCTACTGTCAAGCCATGTGCAGTTAAATGCTTGACAACACTGCTTTACGCAGTTTAACTGTAGAAATAAACATCGTTTTACCTTCAGTGCTGATAAGCATGGCATCAGTAGCTCCCTCTCCCCACAGCACACACAGTTTATCTCCACTGGCATCACCTGTTACTTTCCACAAGCAAACTCGATTCCTGTTGTACGAGGAGCTACAGAATGTTGGGCGAGTCGTTGTTGGGTCTAGCATCCAGCTGGCTCATTTGTTCATGTGTGTACTCAAGTTCGAACGTAGAAGGCTGAAAATGTGGTTGTCAAAATCACAATCAGACATTGTTTTGATCTTAAAGTTACCTTATGCACAGTCATGCACAAAATGATACCACACATTTCGCTGAGTTTTAATAGACTAAAGAAAGTCATAAGGTGTTCTAAACCCCATCAATATGTCTGCGTAAAACAAATGAAAATCGGGGTGTGATTTGAGCAGATGGATGTTTTTGAGCATGTCTTTACCAAGTTGAGTTTGGTGAAATGCCAAATCCAGTGTTTGTTAGCAATGTTGGCCTAGCCTCTCCCGTTGTAAACTAGAGAAGCAGACGTCAGATAGCAGATATGTCTTGGCTGATTTGCATCTGGGGTAAGTGATAAAACATGTTAATTTAATTTTGCGCCAAATTATTCCTTTAAAAGGCTTGGTCATAAAACATGGTTGCTCGCTAATGAACTGACAAAAAGCTGTTTTCAGTTTTCAAGACAATGTGGTTTAAAGACACTGTTTCCTCTGCTCTCTGGCTTTACCCATCACTGACACTTTAATCTTGGGCATTTCTGTCAAGTCAGACCGGATCCCCCATTTTATGCTACTTGCAATAACAATAATAGCTTATCAGTAATATTTTCAGATTACCTGTAGTATTTCGAGTTTCATTAATACATAAAAATAACAGATAACGATACGATTTTTTTTTTCTTTTAAAGTCAAACATATCCTGAGCTTTCTTATAGAATATTAGAATTTTCAATTTTGAAAATATTTAACAGAATATTCGAAAAGAAAAGTATTTGGTAGTTGCAGCCCACCAGATATCCTGTATTAACTAGAGCCTGACCAGATGAGGTCCTGCGGATTTATAAGGGGTTATATTTGTCTTTAACAAGTAGAGTTTGCTATGGTTTGGAGCCTTTTATTTCATGTAGGAAAAATGTTACTGATTTGTGACTGCAACCGTGAATGAATCAAAGCATTTCATTTTGCCAGGCAAAGTGTCAGAGTATTCTACTTTATAATGTCTCTAAGTGAGAGTGAGTTTATTTAACAGTAATGGATCTGAAGAGTCTATATTTATATCTTTATATCTTTAAAGAAGAAAAAAGATTTATGAATCGATTCTGAATCTGAGAAAAAATAGGAACTCATACTTTAGTAAAGCAATGTTTACAACTTTTGGAGTGTAAAATTGGTTAATTTAATTTCATATATCAATGTCAAACATTTTTATATCTGTACTAACTACTGTTATTAGCTAGCATTAACTCTAGTTTTACAAAGACTACATTAACCTAGTGTAACGAGCAGTCTGTCAAACAAGCATCCGGTTCTTTCTTATTTATTGTTGCTGTAAGATCGAACATGTTTTGATCATTCATGGTGGGTCACTCAAAGTTTCCTCGCATTAACTCAAAACGACAAAATTGCTGCCTGTCTCAATTCTGTGTGGTTCTCTTTCAGTGTGAAGCAGTACTCGGGTCGATTCTTCTAGAGGACGGCGAGCGAAGCCAAACTGCCATAGCCATTTTACTTCAGCTTCTTTTCAGAGTCTACATTCCTCTGCTTCTTGGGTAGATGTGCTCCCTACTAC